AAAAAGATTTTATTTATTTATTTGACAGAGAGAGACACAGTGAGAGAGGGAACACAAGCAGGGGGAGTGGGAGAGGGAGAGGCAGGCTTCCTGTGGAGTAGGGAGCCCGATGAGGGGCTCAATCCCAGGATGCTGGGATCATGACCTGAGCCGAAGGCAGACACTTAATGACTGAGCCACCCAGGCACCCCTGTCCATTCTCTTCTTGATGGACATTTAGTTTCCTGCTTTGGGTTATTACGAACAGTGCTGCTGTAAACATGGTCACATGTGCTTCCTCTAGGGTGCTCATTGCAGTGTGACTCATAATAGCCAAAAAATGGGAACAATCCAAATGTCCATCAGTTGATGAATGGATAAATGAAATGTGGTCTATCCATATAATGGAATATTATTCATAAAAAGTAATGACGTACTGATACATCCCAAAACATAGGTATACCTAGGAAAACATTATGCTATGTGAAAGACGTCAGTCAGAAAAGACCATATATTGAGTGGTTCCACTTACATGAAAGGTCCAGAAAAGTCAGCTTCATAGAGACAGAAAGTAGATTAGTGGTTTCCAGAGTCTAAAGGATAGAATGGTGAGTTACTGCTAATGGGATTGGGTTTTTTTGTCAGAGTGATGAAAATTTTCTAAATTTAGATTGTGGTGAGATTGTACAACTCTGTGAATATACTAAAACCACTGAATTATATGCTTTAGATTGGTGAACTTATGGCATGTGAATTATATCTCCCTAAAGAAGTTAAAAATAATTTCTGGGACAGTGTTTTTCAGACCAACCCACTGGTAGGTTATAAACCAATTTAGTGGGTTTAGTAATAGACTTTGTAAAAAGAAAAAGGTAGGGTGGAGTGGGAAGTTCATGTAGCTAATGTTAATATATAAATTCATGAAATGTATAAGTGAAAACTCACAAGTAGCATATTCTCTATGGCAATTATGAATATATAGTATTTGCTCACAAAAGACAGTAAATTTTTGTTTGGCACTTTGGTTTTACTATTTATTTGGGTGATTAGAGATTGGGGTAAAGGATGGTTAGGAATGAGGATTATACCAGAAATGGAATCTGAATTGAAAAGATCCTTAGAAATAAGGGGGAACACCCTGACTAATACGGTTTTTATCATTTGTCTGTTCTTACTCTTTGTGTCAAGTCTGGCTTGGAAATATGAGAGGAGCAAAACTGTCAAACTTTTCCACTACTTTCTGCCTTCCTCACAGATTTTTGCCTTGGCTTCATTCTGTACCCTAGCCAAGTATATTCCTATTTCTAACAGTACTGCTGTTTGGATCAGGTTATCTCTTTTGAAATCATACTGCTATTAAAATTTGATCCATTATCCATTTCAGTTAATATGAGATTTTATAGATGTACTGGGTTAAATTTTATATGCTTTGAGAGCTTTAAAGTGCTGACATAATTTTTTTCTTCTGCACACGAATAGCAGCATTTGAGACCTGAAGTGTAGGTATGAGGAATTTAAAAGCATAGACTGTAACTATTTTAGAACTCCCCTTTTTTGTTCTGGGAGGAATGGGTTTTAGTTCCTAATATTAATAAGCTGAAATTTCTTTCTGTAGTATTACTCTTTATTCTTAACACCCATCATCAATGAAAGTTACAGTGATTCTGAATTCTTTAATCATATCACCATATTGTCCTCATTATCTAATAGTAATTGTTTAATCAAAATTTTTCTTTTGTTTTTGTCTTTTTATGACAGAGACTTTTTTCAGTTGTCTTGATACTCCATGATGGACATCATTTACAAAAGTATGGCATTAGTAAAACATGGGTAGTTTGAGAAAGCCAAGATGATACAGGATCAGAAGGAAACGTAAAACTATTAACTAGTATCCTTAAGGGAAAAGACAATGCATCATTGAAACTATGCAGGAGTCTGTGAAAGAGGAACATTCAGGAGCAAAAATGGGGTGCCTGGCTGGCTCAACTGGTAGAAATAGGATTCTTGATCTCAGGGTTGTGAGTTAAAGCCCCATGTTGGGCATAGAGTTTATTTTTTAAAAAAAGTGTAGGACATTAAAAATATGGTAGAAATGTAATAGACAACATAAGTTAGATAAATCTAGAAAGTAGAACAACAAAATCTAGGAGATAGAAAATGTAAGAAAATTAATGTGGTGAGTCAGAGGGTCCAGCGTCTGAGAAAACATGTTCCAGAGAGAATAGACGAAATGAAGAGGATTAAATTTACATTGAAATACAGGAAATTTTCTCAGAACTAAATGAATCTCTGTCTTGCAAGTAATTACACAGAAAGTACTTAGCAAGCTGGTGTTTTTAAAAGCCATTCAGGAAATTTCAGAACATGGGGATTAAAGAGAAACGCCTTAAAAAACACAAAACACCAAGGGAGGAAAACAAGTCCTGTTTGGAGACCCAAGAAATCAGAAGGCACTGGTTGGACTTGTCGGCTCCACCACTGAAAGCTAGAAGGCAACAGCATTTATTTTATACCCAGACCAGCAGTCAAGGGTGAGGATAAAATAATGAGAGAGATCTTAAACTTACCTCCCATGCACTCATTCTCCAGAAGTTCCTGATAAATGTGCACTATGAAATGAAGGAGTAAATCGAGAGAGGAAGACTGTGGCACTGAAGGGACAGGACATCACCGCAGAGAGATGACTGACTATTAAGACGTTATATATTTGAAATTAATACTTAAATGCAAATTTAGTATATTTTTAAAATGACGTTTAAAAGTTAAAAAATAGGATTCCCCCCCCCACCAGTCTTAGGTAATCTTTCCCTGTTGTTTTTAGAGTAAGAGGAGAGCTTCTTCTGTCCCAACACGTCAGGGTAGAGACTTGTATTTCACATTGTGACTTGCAATTCATAACTCTTGAACCGGGAATTCTACTTATAACTAAAATACTCTTCACAAATATTTGCTTCCAAGAATGTCCAAATCTTTTAAAAATAATTTTTTAACATTATGAATCCCATGATATTTGTAGAATTCTGATATTTCAGCGTTTTTATGTCTGGTTTTCCTACTTATATTTCACTGCTTTTCAAGTTTTACAATTGTAGTTCTCATGGTCAAATTGTAATTTTATTTTTTGTAATTTTAATTGTAAAAGGCACAAGCTTGAAATTAGAGAATCTGTTTTAGAAATTCATCTTAATCTTAAATTTAGGAATGTTCATTCGGACTCATTATTTCTACCTAGGAAATTGGGCCAGTTAGTTCTTTACTAAATAAGTTTTCCAAAGACCTATTTTCACTAAAAATGAACACATTGAATCGTGTAGTTGATAGCGACTTTTGTATTCCTGGAAGACAAAAAAGTACTAAGAATTGAGGCAGGTTGGAAAGTTCACCAAAAATCTAAATCTGAATCATTAGTTATGCTTGCCAAGGTATTTCTTATGTCTCAATAGCCCATATAACTGGTTTTGCTATTAAAATTTTTTTCTGTTAAATTGTATCTTTTGAAAAACAATCTGATGAAACAGAATGATGAAAAGGTAAAATATTGGAAAAATAGGGATGAAAATTCCTTTTCCTGCAACTACTGAAAGGAATGTTGTATATCCTGCTTATTTTGCTTAAAACTATAATTTATAAAGCAGGCAACTAATAGGTGTCAGACCTGAATACAAATCCAAGTCTTACTGCCTCTGAACTTCGTAGTGCACAGAAATTTTGATACAACTAATTGATGGCATGTAGAGAAAGGAATTAGTAAAATATTTTTATTCATTATAAAGTGAGAAACCCATTTTTACCTATCAAATAAGCTAAGTTTCCCAAAGCTGTTAGCCCATATATGGCAGGAAATGTAACTCAGTTACAACCTCTTTAGAAAAGTCATACTTACATAATAATTCTAAAAGTTGTTCATGGCCACAGACTGGAAGGAAATAGTTTAAAATACTAATTTGTTCAGAATAGAAGTGTTTTAAAACAAAATGATTATTTTCCAAATTCTCTATATTTAACATGTTGTTTTTACAAATAGGGAGACTGTTTCTATCCTTACCTGGTGGTTTAACTTCAGGGAAATAATTCTGAATGCAGAATAAAGATTATCCAAAAATACTCATCAGCTTTGTTTTTAGTGGTAAAAAATTAGAAACAAGTTAAATGTCCATCTGAGCAGAAAGTGCCAAAGTAAGTGGTGGTACATCTAAGGAAAATATGTAAGATTTAAGAGATTGCATAGGAGGGGGCGCCTGGGTGGCTCAGTCGTTAAGCGTCTGCCTTCGGCTCAGGTCATGATTCCGGGGTCCTGGGATCAAGCCCCGCATTGGGCTCCCTGTTCCGCGGGAAGCCTGCCTCTCCCTCTCCCACTCCCGCTGCTTCTGTTCCCTCTCTCGCTGTCTCTCTCTGTCAAATAAATAAATAAAATCTTTAAAGAGAGAGAGAGAGAGAGATTGCATAGGAATGAGGAGAAAACTTTAAAATATAATAGGAAAAGCAGGATACCAATTTGTTTATATAGTATGTGATTACAAATACATATTTTCATAAAAATATAGGAAAATACTGAAAGAAAATATAATAGTTTTATCAGCAATTTTGTTTGGATATTGAGTTTCAAGTAATTTTTTCCCTTTTGTACTTTTATGTATTTCCCAGATTTTATTTAATCATGTACTGATTTTTATTTAGTTAGTATTATTTTCCTGGGGCATCTGCGTGGTTGGTTAAGTGTCCAACTCTTGGTTTCAGCTTAGGTGTTGATCTGAGGGTTGTGAGATCCAGCCCTGCGTCAGGCTCCATACAGAGTCTGCTTGAGATTCTCTCTCCCTCTCCCTCTGCCCCTCTCGTGCGCACTCGCTCTCTCCCACTCTCTCTCAAATCTTTTTTTAAAAAAATACTTTCCTAACATAAAGTGATAGCTAATATTTTCTTAGGCTACTTTATATGTTAAGTGGGGAGACATTTTGATAATGACATTTTCTGAATGTCCTATTCTCTCCATATGGAATGAACATGTTTGTATTATTTCTTAGATCTGAAACTCAGCACCGAGGCTCTGCTCCCCACTCTGAAAGTGATCTACCAGAGCAGGAAGAGGAGATTCTGGGGTCTGATGATGATGAGCAGGAAGATCCCAATGATTATTGTAAAGGTAAAGCTTTGATAAGGAGATACCAAGTAAGACATGATTCATGTATATGCAGTATCTCACTTAAATATTTGGTCTGTGAGTGTAAGCTGTTTTGATGTTTTCTGCTTTTTGCATCCTTTACTTGAAGTATAAGAAATAGTATTTCCTCTCACTTCAATTTAATTTAGTAAACCTTGGTTTTATATTAATCTGTTTTTACCCTTTTTTCTCCTTAAAAATGATAGTGCATATTTACCGTAGAAAATTTCAGAAATACGTTAAACAGAAAGAAAATAAAAGCCGTCTGTAACACTGTATCATCCAGAAGTAACCAATGATATTTGGTATATAGACTTTTCAGAAAACCTTTCATTACTTGTTTCTCATAGTGATGATTGCTAAGATAAGTTAAACTGGAATTATAGATACTTAAAATATTAATAGCAAGTGATACCAGAATGTATCTTACAATCTGGGAGAACCTGGTTTGTATTATTCTCAGCAAGCAAAGATGTAAAAATACCTTGATTCCTGCCACTGTTGGCAGCCTTTTCAGGCTTTCCTTGTTTTTGTTTTGTTGGGTTGTGTTTTAGGAAAACAAACTATTTTCTTTTCTTTCTTTTTTTAAGTTAAATAAATGTAATTCATTTATCTCCCTCATAAAAATACATCCTGAGACTACAACTATAAATAGATTTTATTTATAAACATTTATATGTTTAGATAAATCTATTAGATTATTGAGGGGCAAGAATATTGTGATACATAACCTTATTTTTGTTTGAGAATGACTTATTTTGGGATGCCTGATGGCTCAGTCGCATCTGCCTTCAGCTCAGGGTTCTGCATCAGGCTCCTTGCTCAGCGGGAGCCTGCTTCTTCCTCTGCCACTCCCGCTGCTTGTGCATGCTCGCTCGCTCTCTCTCTCTCTCTCTCTCTCTCTCTCTCACACACACACACACACACAAATAAATAAAATCTTAAAAAAAAAAGACTTAATTTTTTTAAGTAACTTGGTTGTTCAACAAAACATCACTTTCTTACTCTAAATCATTCTTATTCTCTAAGATTTTTTTTAAGATTTACTTATTTTTAAAAATGAAGATTTATTTAGAGAGAGAGAACACAAGCATACACGCACGCAGGGGGTGGGGCAGGGGCAGAGGGAGAAAGACTCTATAGTGGACTTGCTGCTGAGCGCAGAGCCCAACCCAGGGCTCTATCTCACAACCCCGAGATCGTGACTGAGCCGAAATCAAGAATTGGATGCTTAACCAACTGAGCCACCCAGGGGCCCCTAAGATTTTTTTCATAACATGAGTTCAGTAATACTCTGTGGCTTACTTAAAATTTTTTTCTGTTCAATTGATTATGTAGAAAAAACCATTTTTATTTGATAAACTATGTATAGATGTTGCAAAATGGAATGTGAGATATCTTTTCTTACTACTTAAGTGACTGTTTCCTTCCTTTTGTTTCTTTCAGGAGGTTATCATCTTGTGAAAATCGGAGATCTATTCAATGGAAGATATCATGTGATCCGAAAGTTGGGCTGGGGACACTTTTCAACAGTGTGGTTATCATGGGATATTCAGTAAGTTGTAGTGGTCCTGCAAAAGAATTAGTTAGGCAATGCCTAAAGGTTTTCATCTGATTTTCCAGAGATGATCTAGCCTTCAGTCTAGCTCTAGACCAATTTCTTGATCAGAATTTTGTTGTTGATAATCTTTATGTTTTTGAGCAAATTTGTCTTTCCTCTGGGGAAGAAGCGCCTTAGAGACAAAAGATTGATTAAATTAGTATCCATAAGGCACTTGGAACTCGGAAATTCAAAACATTACAAATATTCAATGGAAGTATGGTATGTAAATTTATAGGGTGTTTTTGTGTTTTTTTTTATTGGAGTAAAGTTTTAGATGATGTCTTATAGCAACCTATGTGAAATTATTTTCTTGTAGTTTGTTTTGGTAAGAGATTTGCTCAACCATACAGTCTAAAATTTTTCCTACGTAAAAATCACAGGTAATTAAAATGGGATGTTTACCTACAGATGTACTGTCTGTGTTTGATGAGACAGTAATTGAGATCTGTGCACTTTGTTTTTTTTCAGTTTGGTTTCACCCCAAGTATTTCTTCTGGCCTCTTCTAAACTTTTAACCTTTTAGCTTTTGACATGCAGATATACAGGACACTTCTGGTTTGATAAGGTTTTCCCCCCGTATTTATTACCATTTCATGGTTTTACTTGGATTCAGAGAGGCATTCAGAAGGTAGACTTTAACTTGGAGAAAATGTGTGCTGACTGAGATTACCTGAGAACAGATTTTCTTCCTCCTATAAATGAAATCTGTCCAGTTAGTACGGTTAACAGGTACACATGATTGCATAGAAATAGCCTTTGTTTAAGTACAGGGAAACATGGAATCAGTACTTGTACTTTTGTCACTGCCTCCCAGTTATGGCTAAATTTTACCTTCCTAAAGTGAGGATAGGGCATTAGTCTTAACTGCCTGTGTTTGTTTCTTAGGGGAAAGAAGTTTGTGGCAATGAAAGTAGTTAAAAGTGCTGAACATTATACTGAAACAGCACTAGATGAAATCCGGTTGCTGAAATCAGTGAGTATTAATTAGATAATATGTGTGAACAGCAAAACATCATAAAGTTTTACTGAATTAAGACATACCAAATGTAGACTCTTTAGCATGACTAATTTTTATTGTAAAGTTCCAGTATCCTTAAAGAGATAGAGGAAGATGACAGTATTTTTTTTTTTAAAAAGATTTTATGTATGTATTTGTCAGAGAGAGCACAAAGCAGGGGGAGGGGCAGGTAGGGGGAGAAGCAGGCTCCCTGCTGAGCAAGGAGCCCGATGTGGGACTTGATCCCAGGACCCTGGGATCATGACCTGAGCTGAAGGCGGATGCTTAACTGAGCCACCCAGGCGCCCTAGAAGATGACAATATTTATAAATTCTGTGCTTATGGTAGGGGAAGTGGTGGATTCCCATCATAAACACTAAAAAAAACTTTCAAATAAAATATTTATCGAGCATGTTTTATGTACCAGATAGCACAAAAAATGTTTTACTTTCCTACTATGGTTAAAAGTAAAGTTGTCTGACAATAGCCAAAATATCCAGATGTCCATCAACAGTTGAATGGATAAAGAAAATGTGAGATAGATACATAAATAGCTAGCTGTAATGGAATATTACACAGCCATCAAGAAGAATGAAATCTTGCCATTTGCAGTGACATGGGTGGAACTAAAGGATATTATGCTAAGAATAAATCAGAGAAGGACAAGTACCATATGATTTTAAGAAACAAAACAGATGAACATAGGGGAAAGGAAGGAAAAATCAAATAAGATAAAAACAGAGAGGGTGACAAACCATAAGAGGAAACCAACTGAGGGCTGCTGGAGGGGAGTTGGGCATTAAGCAGGGCACTTGATGTAATGAGCACTGGGTTTTATATGCAACTGATGAATCACTAAACTCTACTTCTGAAACTAATAAAAAAAGTAAACTTGTGTGAATAAGTATATAACATCTATTTTATGCTTTAAAATATTATAAAAATATATAACATAAAATAAACGCTGTTTAATTCCTTTTTTATATCTTAAAACTTAAATTTTAGAAAAACTTTTTGTTTTGTTAAAAATTAGGAAGTTATGGTAGGAGGAGCTTAAACTTAGAGTAAGAAAACGTGGGCTTTAAGACCAGCCTTAGTCCAGTGTATCCTCCAGCTCATCACTCCATTTCTTCTGAGCCCTTGAGTTTTCATTTGTTAGACCAGGAGAGCTCTAAGAAAGTAATTTTCAGAGTGCCAGTCGGACAAGATAGGAGCCTGTGCCAAAAGTTAAATCAATACTGCTTGCTTCCTTCGTTGAGAAGGTTCTTTACGGGGGGAATAAAAAAGTTTAGCTGAGTAAACAGTGTGATGAATATTGGTTCAGTGGTTGTTTTGCATCCTGTAAAAGCTCCTTAATTCCTCATGGTCTGGTAACCAGCAATTAATTTGAGAGTGACACTTTTAGTAGAAAAATGATTGAATTAGAGCAATAGTCTTTGTCAGTTGTATTTCCTTTTGTGCACTGTTTATTTCTTTGCCTATTTGAACTATTAAAATTTTAGTATGTTTTTCTCATAGATGTGTGTGAGCTCTTTCTTGGGAGTAATTAATCCTTTGTTACATATGCTGTAGGTTTTCCCTCCCCCACTATTTGGCTTATTTCCACACTTTGCCTGTTGCTAAATACTGTCTCTTTCCCACTGTAGGTTCGTAATTCAGACCCTAATGATCCAAATAGAGAAATGGTCGTTCAACTACTAGATGACTTTAAAATATCAGGAGTTAATGGAACACGTATCCTTTTAAGAACTGTTTGAAAATCATGAAATAACCTTATCTCCAAGAGAGGAAACCAGATTTATATAAATAGCATTTGGCTCTTTTCTCAAGGCAAAGTATAATGAAACTACTTTGGGTTATTGTTAACTTCTGAACACAGATGTGAATAGTGTTTATATGTTGTGACTTGTCAGGGGATTGCTTTGGATTGCTTTAGGCATTTTTCCCTTTTCAGGCAAATTAAACCAAAGTCAAAAGAAAACCTTTTTTTTTTTTTTTGATTAGCCTTGTATTAGTAAAGGTTCTGTGATTTTTATCAATTAGCACAGAAATTTTAATGGAAGTAATTTTTCATGATAAACACTGGATAAAGAAAAATTTAACACATTGTATTATCTACCAGCCTTGAACATTGAAGAGGCTGTGCATATAGGTTATGCTTAGAATCTAAACAGATGTGATTGTGTTCTATTAAGATGAACAAACTGACTTGTTTAATGTTTTTATCTGGATTTTTAGAATTTCTAGAGTTGAAAGGAACCTTACCTGATTTTTTTCATAAGTTAATGTCAAAGTGACATGTGGTGAACTGATTAAGAGGTTGTTGCAACAGCCTTGCTTATGAAGGCTTATCAGACTTTTCAGAATAAAAGATGAAGTAAAATCTCACTTGGATTGGAGAGTCTAAAACTACCTGTTCATAAACTATTTAAAAATGTAAAAGGAAAGACATTTCATCTCTCATTCTACTTTTCCTGCATATTCAGCATCTCTTAACACATTGTTAATTGCCAACTATCTCTTTTTAAGGAGGTGGGCTACGTATGGTTCTGGCATCATGTGGACTATGGTAAGAGACTTGAATGGAGAAGTGAGAGAGAACAGGTGATAATGTGAAAAGTTTTTATCTGTCATTCTGAATTTAGTTGTGAGTTATTTCCTTGGAGAAGTACAAATCACATATCCCTGATGTCAGAAGAAAACTGCAAGAATCATCCATTTTAAAAGAGTCTTGTGACTGTTGTGATCACTTTGTAGGTGGCTTACTCTGTGTGTATATAATAAGGCTAACCAAGATGTAAAAACATATATAGGATGCCATTAGATTCTGTTTCCCTGTTTGATCTTGTAATGTATGTCATGCCAACTCTCTGCTAATTTGGGAAAGTTACAAATAAAACTAGAAATATTCTAAATAATCTCCTCAGTAATGCTTGAGTACCATTATTTGACTCCAATGAAGAAGGGTGTTTTTGTTTTTTTTTAATCTTAGTGGGTTTGAATTTCAAGTTCCAAGGTATTTTCCACATATTACCAAGCGGTTTCTCTGTAGTTTTATCCACTGAGTTCCTCTTTGCCCTAAGCCCATTTCTCTCTGCTCTTCCTCCTGCTTGTCTCCCAACTGTCTGGGCTACTGCATTATTTGCTGCTACTAGAGATTGAAAAGGATAAAAGAGCACTGAGTTAAGGGTTAATGGGTTATGCTGTTCTCTTCTCACAACATAAGCATGTCTGCATGGAACCATAGATCTGTATTTTTCTTTGTATCTGAGCATCTCCAGGGGACTGTCCTTCTCATACTGAAGTATAAGGGGCCCTGAACTAGAAAGTTGTATAGACTTCAGTATAGTTGGTTCGTTCTACTTCTATAGGTGGTAAGGGGCGAGGAGTGATTAAAGAGGGACCGCTGTTTTATATATACTATTGACATTAGCCAGTGAGTATCCTTTTCGGCCGTCTTTGTGACCTACTATGTCTTTAGGATACTTCTTATTTCTAGTATGTATTTTGCCTCTTTTCCTAGCTCCTCTTACTCATAATGTGCTCTAAATGTGACCCTTATTAGTGCAGCCCTTTGTGTTTTTTCTTTACACCAGCTCCCCAAGAAAATTTTTTCATGTATCCTTTTATCCAATTCTTTTTGTTTCTTAGGCTGCTAAATGTTTGGTCATTTTTATATCACTGCTTACAGATTAAAATACCATTGTCAAATTGCAGTGCTTCTCTCAACAAATCAAAGAATGAAACTAGGAACATAATAGAGTAACTTAAAAATTCTGTTTTCTGGGTTGTTGGGTTTTTTTTTTTTTTTTTAAGCAATCTGCATTTTAAAAATCCTGTTTTGGTATATTTCACATATACAAAAGTAGAATAGTTGAGTGAATCTCCACAGACCCATTACACATTTTAGGATCTTGTTTGATCTTGTTTTGTGTCTACCTCCTGCTAATTTTGTGGGCAACCTTAGATATATTATTTCACCCATAATTCTTTCAGATTGTATCTCCAAAAGACAAGGACTTTAAAATATAACCTCAATACAATTACCATACCTAAAAAAATTGGGACCGGTTTTTAGTCATCCAGTATCTAATCTGATAGTGTTTCAGTCTCCAAATGTCGCATACTTCTTTTTCTTTTCAGTTTGTTTCATTCTTATTTGGGTGTTTTATAGATATATAGATATATATTTTTTCTGTGTCTCTACTTTTTAATATATGGACTATAGCTGTAACTGCTTAATTTCCTTGTCTGCTAATTCTGACATCTATGTCACTTCTGGTTTAGTTTTGAATGATTGAATTCTAATTTTCAACTATGTTTTCTTGCATCTTTCCTGCCTGTAATCTTTGATAGATACATTGTGATTTCTCATTTGGCTGCTGGATATTTTGTATTCCCATAAATCTTGAGTTTTGTTCTGGGATGCAGGTATATCACATGGAAACAGTTTGATCCTTTTCAGATTTTACATTTATGATTTATTAGATAGATCCAGGGCAATGTTCAGTTGAGGACTAATTGTTGCCTGTACCGACATAAGACCTTCCTGAATAATCTACCCAGACACCCATGACTATGAATTTTTCTAGTCTTTATGTTTTTTTAATTGAGATAAATTAGAACATTGCATTAGTTTTGGGTGTACACATATAAATGATTTGAAAAATGTGTGTATTGCAAATGGTTACCACAGTAAGTTAACATCCATCACCACTCATAGTTAACAGGTTTTCTTCTTGTGATGCGAACTTTTAAGATCTACTTTCTGAGCAGCTATCAAATATACAGTATAGTATTGTTAACTGTAGTCACCATTCTGTACATTATATCCCCAAGACTTACTCATCTCAAACTAGAAGTTTATGCACACACACATCTTTATCCATTCTTCCATCAGTGGACTGTGTCTTGGCTATTGTACATGATTCTGTAATGCACATGGGGATGCTGGTAACTTAATGAATTTGGGGTAACAATTTCATTTCTTTCAGATAAATACTTAGAAGTAGAATTGCTGGATTATATGGTAGTTCTATTTTTAATCTTTTGAGGAAAGTTTGATACTATTTTCCACAGTTTTCTGCACCAACTTATGTTCCCACCAACAGCACACAAGGATTCCCTTTTCTCCACAGCCTCACCAACACTTGTTATCTCTTGTCTTTTTGATAGTAACCATTCTAACAGGTGTGAGGTGATATTTTGTTGTGGTTTTGGTTTCTGTTACCCTGATGATTAGTGATGTTGAGCACCTTTTCATGTCCCTGTTGGCCATCAGTATGTCTTCGGAAAAATGTCTATTTACATCCTCTGCTCATTTTTTAATAAAATTTTTTTCTATTGAGTTGTGAAAATTCCTTATATATTAACCCCTTATCAGATACGTAGTTTGCAGATACTTTCTCCTATTCAGTACATTGCCTTTTCATTTTGTTAATGGTTTCTTTTGGTGTGCAGAAGAGTTTTAGTTTGATTTAGTCCTATTTGTTCATTTCCACTTTTGTTGCTTTTGCTTTCTTCTGGTGTCAGATCCAAAACATCATTGCCAAGACCAGTGCCAAGGAGCTTACTGTCTATTGCCTATGTTTTTGTCTAGGAGTTTTATGGTTTCAGGTCTTAACACTCAAGTCTCCATTTTGAGTTGATTTTTGTATTTGGTGTAAGATAGTGGTTAAGTTTCATTCTTTTGCATGTGGCTGACTAGCTTTCCCAGCACCATTTATTGAAGAGACTTGTTCTTTCCCCAGTGTATATTTATGGCTGCTTTGCCATAAACAAATTGACTATATGATAGGTTTATTTCTGGTCCACGACTATGACTTTGAATTTGTCTAGCCTTTTTGATGAGAACAGACATTGTTGGAGCCCTTTGGGAATGCTGGCCACTGTTCCCTCTAATCCCCTCAGATGATATTTTCCCCCTGCCTCCTTGTATTTCCTTGTATACTTACGTTGATTAGTACTCTGCTAAATTCTTGAGGGGATCCCTTTGCAGATCTCCAAGATTCTCTTTTTCTGTAGCTGCCTTGGTCTCCCAGGACTCTTAACTCCTCTTAAACTCAAGGAATCTGGAAAGTCTCAAGGCAGTAACATGGGGCAATCATAGGATTCACCTCATTTGTTTCTCTTTTCTCAAGGATCACTGCCTTTATTGCCTGATGTCAGGGTCAATAAATCTGTTGTTTTATGTATTTTGTCTGCTTTTGTTTTTGTCATTTTAAGCAAGAGGGTAAATGCATGACCTGTTAACTCCATCTTGACAGAAGCAGAAGTTCCTAGGTACGTTTAACTTTGAGAAATTGCCAGCCAGTTTTCCAAAGTGGTTGTACCATTTTACACTTCTGTTAGCAAATATGAGAGTTCTAATTGCTCCATATCCTCGCCTACATTTGGTCATGTTAGTCTTTTTATTTTAGTCTGGTGAATTTGAAATGCTATCTTATTAAAATTTTGATTGTGTTTCCCTGAGGTAGTATGTCCCTTTAATCTTCTTTAATTTAGAACACTGCCTTCCTTTAATGGCATTGACTTTTTTTTTTTATTAAGAATCCAGAGCAGATATTTTGTCTCTTAATTTAGATTTGTCTAATGGTTTCCTGAAAATTAAATCCAGGTTAATTATTTTTGTCAAGTATACTACATGGATGATGTTCTCTTCTTCTCAGTGTATTACATCAGAGGGTACCTGACATCAGTATGTGCTTTATCATTAGTGGATAATAAGTTGGATCACTGGGTTAAGGCACAGTCTTCCAGATTTCCCTGTTTAGAAGTACCTTTTTCCTTTCATAATTAATAAGCAGTCTGGGGAGATACTGTGACATTGAGACTTTATTCCCAACAATCTAACACAGGAGTTACAGTGTTGTGTTGATTCTTACTTGAATCCATTATTACTATAGTAATTATAAAATGGTGATTTTTTTTTTATTTCTGTCTGTCTTTGTATATCTATTACTTGACTTTTTCTTTAAAAAGGATATTTCCAGGGGCACCTGGCTGGCTCAGTCTCAGGGTCATGATTCTGAGTCCCATGTTGTGTGTAGAGATTACTTAAATTAAGATTAAAATCTTAAAAAAATTAAAAGATTTTCCTATCCACACGCATACTTTTTAAAGTATCTGGACTCATTCAGTTTTTATTTTTTATAAGTTAATTCATAACTTCACTTTTAAAAATGTTTTCAACTTGGCCAGTGACGTCCTCTCCAAACTGTTCCTCTTGATATGTTCCATTACTGTTCACACAGCAAGGTTTCCAGGTTCACCTGGAATTTGGCCATTTCTTCAAGGTGTCCAGGTTTTCCTTTAGTGGAGAATCTTATTTAAAGGAAAAGTGTAGGGGCGCCTGGGTGGCTCAGTCGTTAAGTGTCTGCCTTCGGCTCAGGTCGTGATCCCAGGGTCCTGGGATTGAGCCCCGCATCGGGCCTCCCTGCTCCGTGGGAAGCCTGATTCTCCCTCTCCCACTCCCCCTGCTGTGTTCCCTCTCTCACTGTGTTTCTGTCAAATAAATAAAATCTTAAAAAAAAAAAAATAAAGGAAGAGTCTAGGGGCGCCTCGGTGACTCAGTCATTAAGCGTCTGCTTTCAGCTCAGGTCATGATCCCAGGGTCCTGGATGGAGCCTCACATCGGGCTCCCTGCTCAGCAGGAAGCCTGCTTCTCCCTCTCCCACTCCCCCTGCTTGTGTTCCCTCTCTTACTGTGTTTCTTTCTGTCAAATAAATAAAATCTTTAAAAAAAATAATAAAGGAAAAGTCTGGGCACTAGGTCATTATTACATATGTATATCTCAACTTTCCCCTTATGTAGTAATTTCTGGAGGTGCAAGGTAGCAACATACTGCAAAAATCCCACCCGTGCCCTGCACGCTCCTAGGCTCAAGAGTTATTCCTGCTTATGGTGACTGGGATGTTGATACAGAAAGAGAACACACGGTGGCACTAGAATCAAGATTAGTTTTGTAAACTACAGAGCATAAAGCAAGTCAGTTTCCTATTTTTAAAAAACGTTGGCCTTCACATTTTTTTAGGTTACGTTTTGGTACATTATCTCCTGTAGTTAAAGCAGAAGTTTTTTCTTCCTGCTTTGAGACCATGAGAGTAAGAGTTGGTACCCTGAGCATTAGTTTTGCATCAGGGAGAAGTAATCAGCAACTTAAGGCTAGTGCTTTCACTAATTGAATGTGCAGGTTTCACTTTTCTTTTACTACTGGTGTTTTAATGTGCATAGTTTTATCAGTAAACCAGCACCCCCGAATTTTCCATTTCTTGGATGTTTTCAGTAACTTAAACATTCTTTCACCTTTGGAATTCAGAATATTGACAGCTAGTTATTTTTTTAGTCATACTCTATAACTTTTCATACTGAAAGAATAATACAGTAAATTTCATTGGGGTAGAACATTTTATCTTGCCTCTTCTCTTGTGCCTCCTTTTTCCTTCCTTAACAAACTCCTAGATATCTGCATGGTGTTTGAAGTTTTGGGGCATCATCTGCTCAAGTGGATCATCAAGTCCAATTATCAAGGGCTTCCACTGCCTTGTGTCAAAAAAATTATCCAGCAAGTATGTATCCTAATATTGTCTATGTGGTGATTGTTTTATATTCTTAAAGTGTCAGGGGTTTCCTATATCAAACAATTTTTTTTTTTAAACTAGGGATTTTTTTAATTGCTAAAATTAGGTGTTTTATTCAGCCCCTAGTGTTTGTTCTGTCTTTAAGTGTTTTAGCAATAACCATTTTTCCCAGATTCATCTCCTGTAATAATTATTAGAGGGGAAGATGTGTTCAGTGACTGGTGTTGGAAATTTGGAGCCCTTATCTGGAAGTTCTGGTTACAGATATTGATTATTAATAGAGAATTGCTATGTCAAATTATTACTGTCTCTTTATAGAACATTATTCAAGGGTATTTTCTAATATTCTAAATAGCTTTCAATACAGTAAAGTTTACTCTCAGGAAAATATACTTCAAAGGGCAAATAATTTGGATAATGTGTTTTAGTGGAAAGAGCTCTAAACTGGGAATCAGGAGACCTCAGTTCTTTATCAACAAGGAAATTTGAATTAAGAGATACTAAATCTCTTTGATCACCTATATTTCAACATTTAAAGAGCATATTGACTTTTATTCTCGGCCTTTATGTTCTTCATTAAATATCTCCAAATACAATTAGCTTTTTAATTTTTTATTATAGGTAAACTCTTGCCTTTGCTCATAGTTTACGAGTAATCTTTCTGGGGAAGTTTCTTTGGGCCTTATCAAGAATGCTTTATTCTCTGTTGAAAACTACCATATTGTTTTTATATTTTTATTTTGTAAAATGTTGTATTGTGATTTTTTCCTTCTCCAGAAAGACTTGTATTCTGTGTTTGCAAGTCTACCACTCTATTCCCATCCAGGTGTTACAGGGTCTGGATTATTTACACACCAAGTGCCGTATCATCCACACTGACATTAAACCAGAAAACATCTTGTTGTCAGTGAACGAGCAGTATATCCGAAGACTGGCTGCAGAAGCAACAGAGTGGCAGCGATCTGGAGCTCCTCCACCTTCTGGATCTGCAGGTATGTTTTCTCTGAGGACTTTGGTCTCATTAGAAGTTACGAGAAGTTCCAGGGTGGCTCGGTTGGTTAAGTGTCCAACTCTTGATTTCAGCTCAGGTCATGATCTCAGGGTCCTGGGATCAAGCCCTGTATTGGGCTCCCTGCTCTCTCTCTCAGATAAATAAATAAATCTTTAAAAAAAAAAACAAAAAAACCTGAGAAGTTCCTATTTTTATTCTATTACCAGGCAGTTAAGTAAAGCATACTCATTTAATGATAAGATACAGTAAGTACTTGTGTGTAAGAAATAGTCTCAGGCTTCAAGACTTTTTTACAAATCTTCAGAATTGCTCTCCTGTAGAAAGAAGTCTAGAAATTGTGTCTTCTGGGTACAGATGTTTTGTATACTATAAAAGCTGATTCATGTTCTTGTTTTAAAATATTTTCTCTTGTGATTCAATAGCCATTTTTGATGTGTTTACCTCTTACCATGATCATACGTACATGCTTGCTTATAGATCAGTGTGATCTGTGCAGGGGCAAGATAACTTACTATTAAGAACTTGAGTTTAAGCACTGGGGTGGACAGAGCTGGTTTGAATCCTGGCTTCATCATTGGCTGGGTGTTTTTGAGCAAGTGTCTTGACTTCGTTTTCCCTCATGCAGGAGTTCTTGGGGGATTAGTTCCATGTTAAAGCAGTTAATAGGTTGCCACACAGTATTATGTGCTACAGATGATGGCTATGATTATGATGATTTTTTTTGCCATTTGGGGTATAGATTTTAATTTTAGTAGTTTTATTATATTTGAGGAATTTTTTTTTTTTGAGGGACTTTCTTGATCCTCAAGTTGAAATGTCAATTATCATAGGCTTCCTTTAAAAAGGAAGACTAAAGAAGGGGGGGCTAATGAGAAGTTGTTTAATGGGCATAGAGTTTCATTTTTCCAAAGTGAAAACATTCTAGAAATATTACACAACAATGTGAATATAATTAACACTGTTGAACTGTACACTTAAGAATGGTTCAGAGGGAAATTTCACCTTGTGTGGCTTTTACCACAATTAAAAAAAATTTTTTTTACGGAAGATTCTACCTCCCGCCTAATCTATGCTATGCTATGATACAAATTACTGTATAACTCTTAATGCCATGCTCCTTTTAAAACTGACCAGTGCCAAGGGGAAGAATTAAGAGATGGGGGTTCTTGGTGGGGATGAGGGTTGTTGCCTGTCATTTTCTATTTTAAGCATACATCGGAATGAGATTTTTGCAGCATTAATAGTGGAAACCAGAAATGGGGACTTTGGCTCCTTGCATATATGGATTTTATCTGGAGAAGAATTTAGTTTATTTACATTTATTTTATGTTTGCCAACTTTTATATGCATTATTCTTTTTTAAAAGATGATACTTTTACCAAAGTTGCTTTTAAAAACAGTTTTCTCTATAACATAAACTTATACGGCTGCTGAATGCCAGGGTTCTTACTTGGTTTTCTTTTCTTTTCAGTCAGTACTGCACCCCAGCCTAAACCAGTAAGTATAAGGTGTTTCTATGTTTAATTCTGATCTATGGGCAATGAGCAGGGATTCTTCTGTTAGGGATCACAGTTTGTGTAGAGTTTGAAAACCAAAGAAAAAAATATTCCTGCGCTTCTATATTTTCTCCTACAAATGCCCATGCATCTTTAACAAGTTTGTACCGGTGAGGCTTCTATAAACTTGAGTGTGTCTGAGAGTACAGCAGCCCCACAGATGGCTCAGAGGACCAAAATTTATTGTTTGTTTCTATTTGGTTTCATAAGAGTATCCACATTGTTTAAGTTAATGAGAAACTTAAGTGCTATGTTAGGAAAAGAGTGAAATTTAATTAGGAAATATTAAAGTTAACAGTTATCTCCAACTGGGGGTAATGGATTAGCCACCTGAAGGCTTTATCTGTTTGTAATCTCCGCCCAGGCTGACAAAATGTCAAAGAATAAGAAGAAGAAATTGAAGAAGAAGCAGAAGCGCCAGGCAGAATTACTAGAGAAGCGAATGCAGGAAATTGAGGAAATGGAGAAAGAGTCGGGCCCTGGGCAAAAAAGACCAAACAAGCAAGAAGAATCAGAGAGTCCTGTTGAAAGACCCTTGAAAGAGAACCCACCTAATAAAATGACCCAAGAAAAACTTGGTATAAATAGAGCATACACAAAAATTTACTTTAACATTAATTTATCATTGTTCTATAATATAGTGGTTTCGTGCATACAACACATCTCTGGGGGTGTCCTTATACAGTAAGAGTACAGAACCTTCATAAATGTCAGGCAGGTAATAGTCAAATGTAATTTCTGACTTTTCTATGGAAATGCAACATAGACTTCATTTTGCACTTGAGTAAGGATAAGGAGATCTTTATCCTTCCATAAATAGGTGTTAGATGTTCAATCATGTTTTTATGTCACCCTGTATAAGTTCTAGAAAACGTTTTTAATCTTGTGGAGAAGTTTTTTTGTTCTCTCACTCATACACATACACATACATCCTTTTTGTCTGTTTGTTCCTTAGAAGAGTCAAGTACCATTGACCAGGATCAAACACTTATGGAACGTGGTGTAGAGGGTGGTGCAGCAGAAATTAATTGCAATGGAGTAATTGAAATCGTTAATTATACTGAAAACAGTAATAAAGAAACATTGAGGCTTAAAGAGGATCTACATAATGCTAATGACTGTGATGTCCAAAATTTGAAGCAGGAACCTAGTTTCCTAAGCTCCCAGAATGGAGACAGCAGCACATCTCAGGAAACAGACTCTTGTACACCTGTAACCTCTGAGGTGTCAGATACCATGATGTGCCAGGCTTCACCAAACGTAGACCAGTCATTCAGTGAACAGGACATCAGCCAACTTCAAGAAAGCATTCGGGCAGAGATACCCTGTGAAGATGAGCAAGAGCAAGTACAAAATGGACCATTGGACAACAAAGGTACTTAAACAGACATACTTCCCCCAGTACTCCTTCCCTGAATAGCATATTCATGAATTTCTAGTCCAAATCTACCATTGTTTTTATAAATAAAGCTTCGTAGCAGGTTCCCAAGTTACCTTCAATGTGTAAATTTTTAGCTAGTTTCTTGAATTGTATTGGTCATGTAGTGGTGCACAGCATTTCACTTGCTCTGAAGGCAGAAGTAGGTTTTATTGTGTAAGCTGAAGGTATTGCTGTATTCTTTTTTTTTTTTTTTTTTTTGGTACTCTTTTATCTTACAAAATTTAGTGAAGTTTGCCAGTCGGAGGCCTGGGTATATTGCTTCAGAGAGTTTTATTAACCTTTGGGTATTTCTGTGTTCACTAAACAGCCTTATTAATGATACCCTTTGTCTATAGGGAAATCCACTGCTGGAAATTTTCTTGTTAATCCCCTTGAGCCAAAAAATGCAGAAAAGCTCCAAGTGAAGATTGCTGATCTTGGAAATGCCTGTTGGGTGGTAAGTTAAACTTAGCTTAGTGCTGTGTTTTGAAGTCACTAGGAATGAATGAAAAGTTGAACTTTAATTGTGCTAAGGAAGAAAACATCTGCAGGTCTGTACCTAGATTGCCGGTTAACATCTTTGAATATTTTTTCACTTTTTTCTTAATCTTCTATTATAGAAAAGTTCAAATATACTTAGAAAAGTAGAGAGAGTTGTATAATAAAACAGCCCCCACTCCCACTCCAGGTACCTATCACCCAGATTCAGGAATGTTAACTCCTGGCCAGTCTTGTTTTATCTGTGTCCTAATTCACTTTCGTACTCAGTGATGCTTATGTTCATACTTTCCTGTTATTTTCAAAATTGGTATCTAACTTATTAATTGTAAACTTTTAACTCATTTAACATATTTTGGACACTTCTTTGTCAACCAGAAAGTTTTATCAAATTCAGTTGGCTATATAGTATTCCCTAATGTACTTAGTTTTTACACATTTTTGATAGCTCTTTGTGATGAGCATCTTGGCTCATGAATCTTTGTGTGGTTGTCCTTAGGATGTGACCTAAACATAGAATTCCTAAGTCAAAAGTTGGGGTGCTTTTTTAAAATGGATTTTTGATGTGTAGTGTCTGTTAATACTGTTGCTTATTACCTAGCTAAGAATTTGGGGGAGGGCATTATTTTTAATGGACACCTCAAAAATCTACAGTAGAATGATTTGCACATAAATGACACTACTCAGAGTCATATACTTTGTAAACAGGAATGTTGAAGATTGCTGAAGCCAAAACTATGCGTTAATGAAACTCCACTTTAATGGGTTTTACGTTTATTTTTATACTTCGAATTCTCTATTCCATATGGCATCCTGTACCTAATGGTTTATACCTTAGAAGGATCTCACTTCTAGGATATTGTGATAACCTTTTAGGAAAAAAAAAAATGAAGTCAGAGCTTAGCACTGACTGGTAGGAATGGGGAAAAACTTTTCAAGTAATTAGAATTACTCTAATTACTTGTAGTAATTAGAGTAGTAATTAGTAATTATTCTAATTACTCTAATTACCATACCGTGGTCTGGTCTAGGCCAGCCGGTCTTCACCTGGATGACTGCAGTGACCTACTCAACTCTCTCCCTTCAGCTGCCCATGCCCCCTACAGACTGTTGTCAACACAGCTATCAGAGTGATCCTTTTAAAAATGTGAGTCGCAGTGACTTCCCTCAAAATAAATGCCAAAGTCTTTACCATGTCCCACACACCACCAAGGAAATAGTGTCCTTCTGCCTGGAATTCTCTTCCCAAGATAATGTGTACAACTCACTCATTTTCTTCAAGTTCCTATTCAGCTGTCATCAGGGAGATCTTCCCCTGAACACCTAACATAATTAATGAGCAAACCACCACTCTCTAAACCCATGCACCTTTATTATATTCATTCATGTATTGTCTCTTTCTTCTTCTCCCCCCTGTTTTTTTTTCTCCATAGCACTTATCACAGTCTGATACTGTATAGTTGTTTGCTTACTATCCCTCAATGTATGTCCCATCACAACAGATTTTTTTGTTCACTGCTGTATCTACAGTACTTAGAACAGAACCTGGTACCTAGGAGGTGCTCAATAAATACTTAAGTAAATGAATTGTGAGAAACTCATTGGCTCTGTCACAGATACCACATGGTACAAACATCAAATGCTTCAAGCTTCTGGGCCTTTGTGTTTAGAACACCTTCCTCCATTATTTTCTTACCCAGTTGGCACACTTCTTTATTCTGCTACAATTTTTCATGTCACTTTTACTACCACAATTACTCTCTCTTTTTTTGTCTGCATGTCTCTTTTTTTATTTTATTTTATTTTATTTTATTAAAAGATTTTATTTATTTATTTGACAGAGGGAAAGAGAGCACAAGTAGGCAGATAGGCAGGCAGTGGGAGAGGGAGAAGCAGGCTCCCCGTTGAGTACAGAGCCCGATGCAGGGCTTGATCCCAGGACTCTGGGATCATGACCTGAGCCGAAGGCAGACGCCCAGCTGGCCGAGCCACCCAGGGGCCCCTCTTCTCTTTTTAAAAAATGTGCCATATGCTAAAATGACTTTACCTTCTTTTCATTCATTCACTCCTTCAGCAAACATTGGCACATGCTCTGACCTTGGTACTAGGACACAGTGTGAACTAGACATCGGCGTCTTGTCCTGCTGGATCCTAGTCATGACTAAATGTCACATCTTACTGATCTCTGCAGCAGAACAGCATCTGGCATTCAGTAATAAAATTGTATAGGATTTTCAGATTGCTTGATTTTTTTGAAGTATTATATTCTTGTCAGTTATGCATGTATATAGTTTATGTTGATTCAGATATCTGTCCCCTCCCTTTGCCAATTTTTTTACTCCCCACACATCAGTATTTACCTTCATATTGCTAATAAATAACTTGGCTATACTGCTCCCAATTTTTTTTTCCCAATTTTAGGCATTTTACTACAGGATTTACGTACCATCACTGCATCCATCCCCCATGTTCCCAATTTAATATGATTTTGGCTACTTAATCATTCCGTGTTTGCATTATTGGGACCCAGTGCTATCTTAAGCATAAATTGTACTGATTCTTTTTCTGTTTCTGCCTAACACTATGTTTCATTTGCTTAGTCATCTTTGTACTATTTATTAATTAATTCAACCCCACGCTTTCACCCAGTGGTATAAATACGTATACTTTAATGCATACAGCTACCTTGAGTACTCTTTCAACTTCTTCCCGAAGAGCTCTGTCTGGAACCTGGAATCTTCTAACCTGCGTTCACCTGTTGGATTGCCCCGGAGGCCTGTGGCGTTACCACCATTCAGATTTCCTTTCACCATCATCCTGGAGATTATGTTTACTCTCTCTTTATATTCCCTACTTTCTGTCTCTTTGATTTTCTTTCTTGGTTTACTGTAAAATGATTGTTTTCTTTGTGGTTTTTGTTTTGTTTTGGAGTATATACAATTTGTAGTAGCTTCCTAAGAAGGGGTGTGTGAGACTGGGAGGGGGGCACCTTGCGTCTGCTAATGTCTCTGTCCTACTTTCACACTCAGTTGGCTGCATGCAAAGTTTTAGGTTGAAAACAATTTTCCTTCAGAATGTTTGTCATTGCTCTATTATCTTCTAGTTCCCTGACTTGTTGCTGCTAAAGACCATTGCCATTCTGATTCTTGATCCCTTGTATGCAGCCTTTTCCCTTGTGAAAGTCTCTAGGATCATTATTTCACAGTGCTATGCCTCACTTGGGTTTGTTTTTTATCCATTAGATTAAGGACTTGGTGTGCACTTTTTTTTTTTTAAGTTTATTTATTTATTTAAGCAGTCTCTACACCCAACATGTGGCTTGAACTCACAACCACAAGATCAAGAGTCAAGCTCTTGCAACTGAACCAGCCAGGCACCCCTGGTGTGCACTTTTAATTTTGAAACTCTAGTTCTTTGGTTTTGACTTTTTCTTTGTTCTTTGGTTGGTTGGCTGGTTGGTTGGTTGGTTGGTTGGTTGGTTTTATTTCCTTTCTGTCCTCTAGCTCTGAAGTCTCATTATTCAAATGTTAGACCTCCTGTGCACATATTATCTTAACCTCTTTCCTATTTTCTGTCATTTTCTTTTTGCTTTATTTTCTGGGCTATTTCTTGACTAGTTATTATAAGCTTTATTTTTTCTCATTTCTCTCATTACATTTTTACTTATCAAGAGTTCTTTGGTTCTCTGATTATCTCTCAGAGGATATAATTTACTATCTCATTTTTGACATTTTTTCTTCCTATGTGTTGTCAGTTGCCTTCTTCTGCAGGAAAACAGGGGGTTCAACATGCAGTTACATAGTCACTTAACTTTCCTGTTTTCAGAATTGTACTCTCCCCTCAATCATGTGGCGCATCCTTCAGAGATCCTATTTTACCCACTCCAGAGAAAACCTCCAAATGCTCTGTCTGACCAGGGAAGAAGCTGTTAGATTGCATCATGCCCTGTGTTCTGGAGCCCTGTTTCTTTAAAAGATGTTGTTGTTGTAAGATTTATTTAATTGTTTTAAGATTTTATTTATTTATTTTAGAGAGCACACGAGAGAGCACAAGGTGGGGGGGCGATGGATAAGCAGACTGCCCGCTGACCTGGGGCTCGATCTCAGGGTTGTGAGATTGTGACCTGAGTCAAAACCAAGTCAGATGCTTAACTGATTGAGCCACCCAGGCATGCCATCTTTAAAAGATGTTTAAAGCAGTGTTTCTGGGTTAAATCCCACCCTCACTTGCAGTGATACCCGACTGACACTGCCAAACCCCAAGCCCTGAGGCAAGGAGTACTATGTATGGTTTACATCCCAGCGCTTCTCAGCTTTCACCAGTGGCGTATTCAGTTTTCCTGGATCCACTAAGGTGTTTACCACTGATCTGTTTTTAAACCTGTAAATTTTACTGCTCTAAATTTATTGCTTCTTTGTCATTCTGTGTCAGTTTATGCTTTAAAAAATTAACACTGAATTCTTAACTAAGGTGGAGTTTTAGGAGTGAGTGGATGTGTGTGTTTGTATCTGATCCACCTTCTTTACTTTTGCTGATTCTTGACCTCATCATTTACAGCATCTTTTTAAGGCAGTAGTGAGGCACAGGGAGTAAAGACAACACCCTTGAATATCATGTCCGTTTTTCTAGATGTATCACTGAAAAGGATGTCTGGACCCAGTTCTAAATGTGTGTGTGTGTGTGTGTGTGTGTGTGTGTGTGTGTGTGTGAGAGAGAGAGAGAGAGAGAAGGCTTTCCCACACCAAGCAATTGGACACTAGTCTGAGAGTTCAACTCAATTCTGACATTATCTACCTGGAGAAAAATAAGATTCCACAGATGAAGGGCTCAGTCCCACAAGACCTCCCTCCACTTCAGATGCCAGTTGCAAGTCCCAAGTTACCTTTGCTTCTCACCAACCAGCTATAAATTGGAGGTTCCAACAACCCCCTCCACTTCAGGATGCCAATCACACATCCAGATTATCACCTGTACTTCTGACCAACTGGCTATAAATCAGAGATTTCACAGCCCTTTCCTTGGGTCTGATTGATTTGCTAGAATGACTAACAAAGTTCGGAAAAGCCCGTTTAATCACTACATTGCTGACTTATTACAAAGGATATTAGCCAGAGAAGGAAATACATAGGGTGAGGTCTTAAAGGAGCTTGTCGTCATGGAGCTTGCAAGGGCCTGCCCCAGTGGCATGTGGAAGCATTCTGGTTTCCCCAGTGAGGAAGCTTCCCAAACCCCCTCCTTTTGCATTTTTATGGAGGCTTCATTACATAGGCATGACTGATTAACTTACCATTAGTGATTATTCCTTCTCTAGCCCCTCACCCCTCCCCTCTCCAGAAATCAGAGACTAGGAATTTTCAGTCCCACCCTCTGTTCATGGTTAGTTCCTATAGCAACCACCCCCCCATCCTTAGGTGCTTTTCAGAAGTCAGCTCATTAACATAAACATAGTTGTGGTAGAAAGGGGTTTATGAATAATAAGACACCCTAAGTTTTACCTTTACAGCTCTGAAGTATTTTCAGGAACTGAGGACAAGAGACCACATATACAAATATACTCCCTTTTGCTCTTACTGCTTCCAGAAATTCCAGGATTCCAGGGAGTTGTAGCCAAGAAGAGTGGATAAAGACCAAATACAAACACACACACACACACACACACACACACACACACACACACACACGAAAAATGCATTCTGCATGACTCATACACCTGAATGTATATGTGTTACAGTATCATAATCCCCTGCAGTACATGTTCACTTCAAACTGAATATCTGAGCCCATTGTTTTCCTGTAAATCCACTTGCCTAAGTCTCTCACACTCTGTTTTTGTCAGCAAACAGCTGACACATTAGGCCTGTGCCACGGAGTTCCTTTTGGCTGTTCCTGCTGTCTCCCACATATAGCCATTGAATTTTGAAATTCCGCTTATTCTTTCTTGGCTCTCCTTGAATTTACTCTTCCCTCTCCTATTTCCGCAATCAGTGTTCAGATTTTCATTCCTGGCCACCAACCAGAAAATGACTGGAATGATGTCCTCAGATGTCTTGTCATTCTTCCTACAGCACACTCCTGTGCATTAACATGGAGCGGTGCCGAATGAAATCCAGACTCTTTATCCTAGCAACTAGCTGTATGTGGCTTTAGCACATGTCTTCTGGCCTTTGTTGGTGATGCTCTGTCTACCAGGAGTACAAAAGTGGCGCTTTTTGATCAGTCTTTGTCCCTTTGGAGCTCTGGTCAACACTGGTTTTCTACCTGAAGCTTTCTCTGCCTAGTATTTCCTCTTCACAAATGTTCTTCCTTGGGGCATCTGGCTGCTCAGTTGGAGGAAGATGCGACTCTTGATCTTGGGGTCATGAGTTTAAGCCCCACATTGGGTATAGAGATCACTTAAATAAAACTTTAAAAACAAACAAAAACGGATAATCATCCTTGTTTTTGAATTCCAGTAGGATTAGAGAATCATCCTCCACGCTTTTTTGTTTACACGTTTCTTAATATTATCTGGATTTTGTTTTGTGTCCATGACTCATTCTAAGCTTTTTTTCTGGAGTATTTTTTATTATGGCCAACTTCAAACCTATACCAAAGTAGAGAAAATAGAACACTGAAACCCTGTGTCATTATACTAGCGTCACCCAGTTATTATCAGCTCATTGCCAGTATATATATATATCACCCACTCTGCCACCCACTCCAGATTATCTTCAACTGTATCCCAAATATCTTAGTTTCATTCCTAAATATGGCTTTCTAAAAGATGATTCTTTCAGGTAACCATGACACCGTTGCTACACCTAAAAAGTTGGCAATTCTCCAATATCAAGTATTCAGTCTATTTTACCAGTTAACCTTGTAAATATTCTTTTGTTTGAAATAGGATCCAAATAAAATCCATGAATGCAAAATTGGGTACTATGTCTCTTAAATTGCTTTTATTATAGTTTTTCCCTTTCTTCCCATACAATTTATGTGTTAGAGATTCCGATTGTTTTGCTGATTGCATTCCCATGGTACTTAACATGGTCTCTGTTTCCCCAAGAATCATGTTTGAGTTTTTTGGAGGAGTGAGGGGGATGGAGGAGAATGGGGGCAAGAATTCTTTATAGATGGTGCTTGTAAGTTTCTTGAAACTTGAAGCCTAATCTTTTATTTCTTCATAATGAGCACATAACAAGGAAAGTTTGAATTGAACCTAAATTGGTGTAATTTATTTGTTGACATGCTTACTAACTACAGACAAATGACCAGCTTAATTTTTGCTTGGGGTTAATAGTTTTCCATTTCTTAAAAAGCGATTGTTATTCCCTAATCTGTGTATCTCTATTAAGGTTAAATTTATATGTTTCCAAAAATAATTTGTAGTAGACAGCATATTAAAGCAAAGTACTGTTTGGAGCTAATAGCATCAAACTGATACTTTTAGGTAACTAGCTAAATGAAGACTGGTTTGAAGCAAACTTAAAAGATTTATTTTAATTTTTTTTTCATGATTTGTTACTCTTTAGAATAAGTGAATTTTAAAGTACTGTTTCCTTCTTCATTTACTCAGCACAAACATTTCACTGAAGATATTCAAACAAGGCAGTATCGCTCCTTGGAAGTTCTGATAGGATCTGGCTATAATACCCCTGCTGACATTTGGAGCACAGCATGCATGGTAATGTTTTTCCCCCCTTGACCTTCACTGTTTGCTAATTTCAGTAGACCAGCAAATTTACAAACAGGAAAAGAAATTTTTTTGTGATGTGCCACTGGCACTCTAAATCTTATGTCTGAAGAGGTAGGAATTCAAAAGCTAGTTAAAAACATCTGGCGTCCTGTGGCACCTGGGTGGCTCAGTCGGTTAAGTGTCCAACTCTTGGATTTTGGCTCAGGTCATGATCTCAGGGTTGTGAGATCGAGCCCCCAAGTTGGGTTCCATTCTGGGCATGGAGCCTGCTTGAAATTCTTTCTCTGCCTCAAAAACAAAAGCATCTGGCATTCCATTTTGTTGTGCCAAATTGCTATTGGTTGAAGGCACCAAATGTTTCTTAGTATGGGCTTCAGTGGAGGGGATTAAAATAATTGCTCTAAGGTGGTGCCACTTTTGATTAGGAGATTACCAGTACCCTTGCCCTTTCAGCTCTGATCTGTTTTCAGATTAGGGAAACCCCTGGAAACTACTTCATTCTGTATAGTTTGACAGTTCCTCAGGAATCTTTGCACCTCAAAAGATGTGAAAGCCCAGTCATCCAAAGAGTCTTAAATTGCTGCTTTGCCTCTGTCAGACAAGTACTCAAGTAGTCAGATTTAGTTGATATTGAATGGTTTCCCACAAGTAGCCTTTGTTGGAATGTGTTATATTGTTTCCCGAAATGGAGTGTACTCTTCAATTTGTAATTGTGTGTTTCTTTACTTGTTTCTCTCCCACTAGGTTGTAAGTACCATGCTAACAGGAGCCTTGTCTGTGATGTATAGCTAAGTGTCTGGGTCAGGGCCTGGCACAATCTGAGTGGGTGCTTACAGGGCAATTCTAGTGCTAACTACCCAGAGTTTTGACAGACTTCACAGGTTAAGGGCATAGTTTCCCAGGAGCCTCCTCCCTTCAGACACCAGCTGCAAGCTCTGGAGTCCACAGGCCACCTGCATTTCTGACCACCTGGCTACAAGGGGAGGTTCCATTATCCTTTCAGATTCAGTAACTTATTAGAATGACTCACAGAACTTGGGAAAGTGTTAAACTGCTATTGCAGTTTTGTCATAAATCAAAGAGTTGGACACTTAACTGACTGAGCCGCCCAGGTGCCACAGAATACCAGATGTTTTTAACTAGCTTTTGAATTCCTACATATCAGAACCAGTCAAATGAAAATACGCATAGGGTGAGGCCTAAGAGGGTCGCAAAGGTGAAGTTTCTGTGTCCTTAGGACATGTCACTTCCCCAGCACATCAGTGTGTACCACCAGCCAGGGAAGTTCACACGGGCTTCAGGTGCCAATTTTTTATTGAGGTTTCATCACTTAGGTATGATTGAATGAATTGTTGCTCATGTGGTTGAGCTCAGTCTCCAGCCCCCTCTCTTTCCCTGGAGGTTATGATAACACTGGCTCAAAGCCCCAATCCTCACACAGTTGGGTCTTGTCCAATTAGAGGCATATCCAGCCCTTCTCTAAAAACTGTCTAGGGAGCCCACCACCAAGAGTCCTACCTCATTGGTGTAATGATAAGGCGGTAGGGGTCCAACGTGAATGATAGAAGACATCATCACTTGGAAATGCCAAGCTTTTAGAGTCTTCCTCTCAGGAAACAGGAACAAAGACCAAACAAATTCTTTATTATATAGCAGTACTTAATAAATTTTGGTGGACCATCAAGTGAGTAAACTAAACCAGAACCCTATTACACTGTCATTTCAGTTAACATTTTTCACAGTCACCTTGGGGGAGAACTTGAGAAACTACAAACTAGTAGAAACCCCATCCTATTTTAGGTCATAGATTTCTTGAGACCCACATTCCTAAAAAACTTTGTCTTCCAGAGGTAATAGAGTTAAAACTGTGTTAATATGGCATGACCTCGTAAATCACTGTGTTATGGCATATCAGCGGTCTGTTAAGATGGTGGACTATGTGAAATGTAAGGTTTGGTACTGTGTGCACAAGATGAAAGAACATTGGAATAAAATCTAAATTCTTTCTTGCCATACTTTAAAGCTTTGTATTTTGAGGAATTAGATTTGCTAGAGAAAATAAGCGATAGAGATGCCACCAGCTACAAAATATAACTAGTTTATAGATGACATCTGAGTTATTATGATGTGGTTCTTAGTAGTGGGTTAATTGTTTGGGGGCAGTAGGTCCTGCTTGCTATTTAGTATATTAATACTAAGGCAAAAAGGTAAAAGGGGAATTAACCTTGCCCCCTGTTTGGACCAGCTCACATGTAGGAATTTTCTTGACCGAGGAAGGGAAAGCACTTATCTGACATGAGACAGTATCATGAAAATTTGAACCCCCCTTTGTTCCCTTAAGTTTCTCTTATTTTGCTAATAGACATAGAAATGTTGCTTTCCATTTAGCCATAACCAGAAAGTAAAAATAAATCCTGTAATATCAGAAGTGTCTGGAAAGATGGATCATCCTGCATCCAATGCAATTAATTGATGGAAAGATTGGAGCCCTTTCTGAGAGATGGAGATTGCCTGCCACCTTAGTGATTGAGACTACCAAGGTAGATGGCAGTTATAAAAAGGAAGTGTTCTGTGAAGGCCATTTTAGAGTGGATAACGAGTAGATGTTTTTAAATCCTCCATTCTGTAGATTTTGACAAATGTATAATGACTTGTATCTAACCGCTGTAGTATCATACAGAAGAGTTTCACTGCCCTAAAAACCCTCCAAACTGCTTATTCACCCCTCCTCCTCCACCCCCAACACCCGGCCACCACTGGCCTTTTTCTTGTCTGCAAAGCTTCGCCTTTTTCAGAATGTCCTAGAGTTGGAATCATAAAGTGTGGAGACTTTCCAGTAGGCTCCTTTCACTTCATAATAATTCATTTAAGGTTTGCCTATGTCTTTTCATGACTCGATAGCTCTTTTCCATTTTTAGCACTAAATAATACTGCGTTGTGTGGATACATACCAGCACACTGGATTTCACAACTGATGTTGCCTCTGGTTGTCAGCATGACCCTGACTGTGGCAGAACAGGCTCTTTGGTCAGTGTGAGGCCAGCACAGGAGTGGCAATCAGGAACCCTGGATTCTAGGATGGGCTTTCTTGCCTGTCCGTTTGGGTTACAGTTTCTCATCTATAAAGGGAAGGGTGTTCAGCTAAGTGTTTTGTTTGTAACTAGAGCTGCTGCTGGTTTTCACTTCTGACGTGATTGGTTTGGTTTTTGTTCTTCTGCTGTTATCTTACTTACAAAATTGTAACTACTAGCAACTCTCATATATGTTCCAGAAAATAAAGTTCTCTCAGAGAACTTGAGGTAACTAGTTATAAGTGTGTAGGTGAAAAAATTTAGAAAATAATTAAAATCTTAGAAAATTTTATTTCCTCAAATTTTAATTTCAGTGTTTTTACTGAACTCCCACTATGAGGCTTTTGAAAAAGTACTGGTTTCAGAAGAGATTAACAAATTTTGATGAATGAGAATCACAGTTTGTTTCTTTTCTGCTTTGGGACTATAAGCCTCAGGACGATTAGAGGGTAGATCTCTGTGCAAGTACCAGCTTCAGTTTCATAATGAACTGCCAGAATATAAAACCAGCTATGCCTGGTCCGGGATAGTACAGTTCAGGTAATAGAGTTCTGAGAAAAGCTGTCCTCTCGTGAAACTGCAGAAGCTGACTTCTGGCAAGCCACTGAGACCTAAATCTAGGACTGAATTAGAGAGTGTGCTCTGGATTGTGGGGCTCCACCCCACAGTTCCTGAAATTGTCTGGACCATTGACTTAATCAAAATTGACCTGTGACTGGCATTTGACTAACAACTGTACTTTTATACCAATATGGTCCTTTATAAAATTGCTGTTACATTACTTATTTTAAACCCATTTTTTAATCAGTGAAAGGTTAATATAGCCCTGTCACTCAGATGCTGCCTTTCCATAATGCTTAGCACGTATTCTAAAGGAAATCACTTTTTCATGCTTCTTGAACACTGTTTACAAGAGGTTTTTGTGTAGAAGACATGTGCCTTTCTTTTCCTGGTAGGTGAATGCCAAACCTGCCAGTCACATAAAACATGAACGGCTCTTGACTGCATTTACACTTAATCTTTTTCTGATTTTCCTATAGACCTAGGAATTGGGGATTCTACTGGAACCGTTTAGGGAGTGCTTTCCAAAGCAAAACTTAAAAATACACTTTTTGCCAAATAATTAAGTCCTAGGTAGAGAGATGTCTATCTGAGTTTTTTGGTTTTGATTTTGTGTACAGAATCTAAATTTCTAGCCATGTAAAATTATAACAAGAAAATAAGACCTGCTCTTCTCACGAATAATTTAATAACTTAGAATCACCTTAATATTCACATGTGGCCCTCTCTAAGCAAAAAGAGAAATTCAAGAGAGCTGAATTGCTGATAGGGAGATGGAGTGGAAGAATCCATATGTTGATGTTAACAGTTTTTGCTGTTTTCCTGCTCCATTTTTCTAAGAAACAGGTGTGGAAGGAAAACTCCTTAGGAATAATCGCATTTTTTTAAATGATCATCTGCAGCTTTTTCAAAGAAGAAAAAAATTACTTCATATTGAGCCACATAGTAAGCAATAAGCTTCCCAAAGGCTGCTTTTTCAGTTGTTTTGTTTTGTTTTAATGCTTTCATATGCTGTCCTCTTTTTCGTAGGCCTTTGAACTGGCCACAGGCGACTATTTGTTTGAACCTCATTCAGGGGAAGAGTACACTCGAGATGAAGGTGAGTCTCCTTAACTGAGGATCTCTGTGCATGGCCATTACACTTTCCACGTGTGGCTAACACGGTTTGTTAGTACTGAAGAGCTTAGTCTTTTTAGTGTGCTAAGAATATATAAATCCCAGAAAAGATAGAAATATAAAATGTTTTATGTTAAGTATTAGATACACTAGATATTTTATAATAGCTATTAAAGAACATATAAGGATTAGAGAAAAGCCACAGTTGGTTAAACTAAAACTTGTATTTGCCGGGTAATTTCTTCTAAAACATCTGGTTATCTTCCTTTCTGTATAAATCAGTGATTCATTCTTTACCCACTTTCAATTACCTGTTCATCAGCTTGTTGCTCACTTATGCCTGCAACTTTATTTGGAAGTCAGTAATTTTATATGCAGACTACTTGAGTGGTGTTTGTGAATGCAGGCACTATATCCTATTTGTATAAATTCTACAATTTTTAGCATTTTTCCCTTTCTAAAAATTAAAGCCATACTTTTTTCTTTGTAAATGATACTAACATTTAGAATTCCATTTTAAAACAGTGTTATTGGGTCTCCTGGGTGGCTCAGTTGGTTAAGTGTCTGCCTTCGGCTCAAGTCATGATCCCAGGGTCCTGAGATCGACCTCTGCATGAGGCTCCCTGCTCAGCGGGGAGCCTGCTTTTCCCTCTGCCCCTTCCCCTGCTTATGTTCTCTCACGCTCTCTCTCTGTGTGTGTGTGTCTCTCTCTCTCAGATAAATTTAAAAATCTTTAAAAAAAATAAAACAGTGTTATTGATTTACATTTTGTGATAGCTGATGGGAAAGGCCCAAGCTGTCAGTTGCTCCATCTGAGAGGCTGTGAAAGCACACAACTGAATATGTGATTTTTTTTTTTTTATCATGGTGATGTCCAAATAACCTAGATAATAATGTGAATGAAAGAACAATTAAACGTTTTACCTTCTTTATTATACAGTTTCAGCAGGTTTTGCTTTCAGGATTAATGGGGATTACTTTGAGAGAGCACTAGCAAGGTACCCTCCCAATGTTTAAAATATGTCCTTTACTTTCTGTGCTTTCCTCAGTTCTTAGGGGAATCAGGTTTTGTTCTCTGTGGAACCAAGAATGCTCTCCATTTCTTAAACCACGGTCCCTTGGGATATTAATAGGCAATGTTAGTAGGGCTTGCTGATACTCCTAACACATACTGTTTGGGAAAAGTTACGCTAATTCCGATCACCAAATGCCTATTTCAGTGGGTACAGTTTGGATGTGTTTTCTATGTAAGCCCTTTTAAGAATATATGTAATTACTATCTATGTACACACTTAATTTTCCCTAACCTCTGCTGCTTTTTTTGCCAGTTGTAAGTTTGGGGCTTTGAACTTTCTTAGAAATGCCCTACTATAACTGTTTGAGCATGTAATTGACTTTTTTCTCTTTACTTTCCTAGATTCCCTGTAAATAGTGTGTGGTGCAGAACACATATAGCAGCTGGAATTACACTCTGTAGGGTCTTATGCTACCAAAATGTATATAAAAAGTCCCAAGTAAGGGGCAAGGGAGAATTGTCTATTCTAGATATTTAGATCCAAATTTTATTTCCTCCTATACTAGTCAGCACTAATAGTCCTTAGTTGAAACTTCAGACTACTGCAGTTTGGTCCATAAGAGCAGAAAAAAAGCAAACCCTTATCCCCTAGCTAGGATATGCATAGTTTGTTATAAGTCATGGTAGGGCTGGGGCCTACCTAAGAAGCATTTTTTCTGATGTTATTGATGTTCTACAGCTCTAACTCGGAATAATACTTGATAATTTTGCCTATCAGGTATATCAGTCCTATGATTAATTGATAAGCCGGAGACAGGCTGCTGGAATTAAATGTAAAATAACTCATTCAAGAGAAAAATAATTGGGGCGCCTGGGTGGCTCAGATGGTTAAGTGTCTGCCTTTGGCTCAGGTCCTGATCCCAGGGTCCTGGGATCAAGCCGCGCATCGGGCTCCCTGCTCCGCGGGAGGCCTGCTTCTCCCTCTCCCACTCCCCCTGCTTGTGTTCCCTCTCTCGCTGTGTCTCTCTCTGTCAAATAAATAAATAAAATCTTTAGGAGAAAAAAAAGAGAAAAGTAATTCCTTGATATAGGAAAAACATTAAAAGAACCAATATTTCACTTGGAAGTTTACAGTAAGATAAACTGTAGTCTCATTTCTACAAAGATATTTATTTGCAGGTTTTGCCTAAAATGGGCAAAAATTTCATGGTGGCTAAGTTTTGTTAGAAAACCATAAATTCAGTCAAAACTGCCAGAAGGTTGTAGTGACTTGATGAACGTAAAGCTGTTTTAAAATGACAGCACTGAGTCCTTTACTTGAGAAACAGATAGGACCTGAGACCATCACAAATTCCCAGATATATTGATGTCTCTGGCATATTATTATTATTCCCCTGTAAGGTGATATTATTGGAAAGGTTATAGTCATTCCTTTTGACCTTAACGATTCTGTAACTACAGGATTAAGGTCATTTATAAAGCTCTTTTGTGGCTAACAGCCATCGCTTTTTAAAATTTCTTCTTATTCTTAGTTGCTGTCACCTGCAGAGTAAAAAGGTAGTAGAGTTGCCTGTGAATGTGGATGCTGCCTGGTCCCAGGCTCCCCACGTGGTGCACACTTTGCTGGCAGTGCTCACAGTCCGTATTCATGCTGTGACCGTTACAAGGCAGTGCTATGATATGGGTATCTTTTAGTGGCCTACAGAAGTCAAGTAGCTGTATTTTAAAATGTCTGTACCAATTTCTACTTTGAAAGTGTGATTTATTTTAAATGGCTCTCAACTACACATGATAAGATGTGGGTTCATTTTGAATTCTAGCTCTTGGTTAGCCCTATACCTTCAAGTAGGCCATTTATTCTCTCTGAGGTTCTGTTTTCTCATCATTAAAATGGGATATCTGTTAATTTTGACCTGTTCTACAGGGTGATTGTAAAAACTCAAATAATTGTATGTGAGTGCTTTAATTGTTGTGAACTTTGTTAAATAAAGTGATGTAATTACTACTTGAAGCCCAGAGCAGTACCATAAATAAATAAGTCTCTAAAGCATATTGGTACAGTTTTTTACCTTATCTGAAAAACCCACCTGAATCTAGATGTATAGACAAAATAGAAGTAAAGGTATAGATAAGCCTCCAGACTCTAGAGTGGGACTTGCCAGCTACTATCAGGTGACCAACCACCTGAAACAATTCTTGACCTTCCCAGTCTCCCCTGGAGTATCCTTGGTTATATTTGTAGTTACTCTTAAACAGCTAGGCCTGAAAAAGCTATTCATTAAAAAAAAAAAAAACCTCTTTTACAGCTTGTCCTTGATCCTGTTCTTCTTACCCTTCTATTTTAGACCACATTGCGCACATTATAGAGCTGATAGGCAGAATTCCAAGACGCTTTGCCCTCAGTGGGAAATATTCACAGGACTTCTTCAACCGCAGAGGTAGTATTATTAACACGAGTTTTCATCTAGGCCCCAGGGATACAACTTCAGGAAGCAGAGCATTCACACCAAGATTGTTTTTAATTATCACTCAAGTCCCACTGGAGTGGGCGCCTGATTTATTTATGGTTTTCTGGATTCTCCATTAGATGGATAGAGTCCTCTTCCTATTTAGGACAGAAAGCAAGGCTGAAATGTTTTACAAAGAGGTGTGCATGCTACTCTTTCTGCCATTTTCTAGAACTGCATTTGTTACTCCTGTTATGTATGTCTTTTTTTTCCCCTCTCCTGAAATGTTTGAAACATACAGATCACATTGCATTGATCATAGAACTTCTGGGGAAGGTGCCTCGCAAGCTCATTGTGGCAGGAAAATATTCCAAGGAATTTTTCACCAAAAAAGGTAAAATGAATGTGTTTGTTCCCAGCCATTAAGGGGGCAAAGTGTTTAAAAGTGAAGAGGTAAGTACAGTCAGGTACATGTTCCCAACACCTACAGAAGAATGGTCCTGCCTTAGATGCTGAGCTATAACAGCAGAGAGGTGAAATAGTGTGGTCAAAAGCAGAGACTGGAGCCACACTATCTGGGTTCAAATCCCAGCTGCTACACAACCTCAGTCTGCTGATTTCTAAATGGGGATTTTTAAGTGTTTACTTCACACTAAATGAGTTGCTGTGTATATAGTACCTGGCTCATAACTGGTTGATTACTCCTATCGCAGTACTTCTGAAAAATGGGCAGATTTTTGCTATCATTTGATCTAAGAACTGCCTCTGTCAAAGGGCAAGTAGCTTAGTTTAAGCTTCCTAAGGGCAGGACTCACTCATCTGGTAGCCCAGTGACACCTAATGTAGTCACTTAAGCACATCAGTCCTACAAATTAACTTTACCCTTTGCAGTTTTATAAGTTTATGTTATCACCAGTTAGTGAAAGAAAGAAAGATAATACTCTCACCTGAAATTTTGACTCAATAATATATGTTGGCATAGTTAAGTGTGTATTTCTTATGCATCCAAATAAAATTTTAAAAAGCTGAAATTTGAAAACCTGACCTAGGAGGGACTAGAAGGGGACTAGAAAGGAGGGACCTTCTTTCCCTGTTTGCCATGGTTCCCTTTTTCCTCACAACCTCTACACTTGACAGCAAGCATCCTCAGAAGCATTTCTTAATGTTTCTTTTTGGCAGGAAAATAGTGAAGTGTTTCATAGGAGTTCCTCCTTGTGCAAAGACCAATTAATGGCCTGTGTATACTGAGGGGGTAATTAATCAGGCACTCGCTGCCCACAGAAAGAGACTTCAAATAAGTGTTGTGTAAGTTAAAATGGTTATGGCAAAGAAGCAAGAATTAGAATGACATTTTAGAATAGTACAAAGTGTTGATGTAGCTATATCTGAAAGCTGTATGGGGTTTGTTGTTTTAGTCTTGTTGCTTTTATACAGAATGGACATGGTGTTAGCTCTTTATTTTTAAATTACTGCCTTATTTGGAAGCAACATTTACTAGCCTGTTAAGCCAAAAAAAAAAAAAAAGGCAAATTGTTCTTGGTATGTGATGATAAACTATCTTTGAACACCATATGAGACCATGTTGCATATATAGGCATTTAATATTCATTTTAGTGAATACCTAGTTCCTGCTAGGCCTTATCCAGTTTGGGACAAAATATCCTAGAATGGTGGAGCAAACAAATTCAGATTTTAGGCCCTCACAGAAAATGGAGACACTTCCAAGGAATGTGTTAAGAGCTTTGTGAATAGAAAAGGATTAGATTCTGATGGCAAAATTTGGTTCTTTTATAGAGCACCTGGATTAGTTCCTGGATTTCCACAAAAGGATCTTGTCACTTGTCAGTGGCGGTCAGTTTCTTTTGTATTGTCTTTACCGTAGGTGACCTGAAGCACATCACGAAACTGAAACCCTGGGGCCTTTTTGAGGTTCTAGTGGAGAAGTATGAGTGGTCTCAGGAAGAGGCAGCTGGCTTCACGGATTTCTTACTGCCCATGTTGGAGCTGATACCCGAGAAGAGAGCCACTGCTGCCGATTGTCTCCGGCACCCTTGGCTCAACTCCTAAGCCCCAGCCCAGCACCGCAGCAGAGATCACATGCTGACCCTCGCCCCTCCCTGCCAAGCATTTCCCTCTTCCCTTTTCAGGGTGAAGCTCTTCCTTCAGGGGTTTCCTAGGTTTTTTGTTATTGTGGGGTTTTTTGTTTTGTTTGGTTTGGTTTTGTTTTTTTAATCCAACATGTTCATTTGGGTCTGCTTACTTGACCCTGTGGAGATTCCCCCACAGCCATTGGGCATCCTAGGTGAATTTGGCTTTGATTGGGCTCTGCCAAAGACTAATATACTAAAATGTGAAACAGCCTCTCACCCTGTACCCTTGTCTTTTCATTAAAACACCCTTTAAATTATAAGCATCCTTTTTAAAAAGAGCTATGAAGATGATGAGCTCATCCTTTTATTCATTGACTCTAAGAGTCAAATTTTCTAGTGCATCTCCTATTGCCAGCATAAGGATGAGAAAGGGAAAGGGTGTTACTTCTGTGTACAGCAGAGACATTAAACTTGCTGTATCCAGGCTGCATCATCTTCCTGGATTGTTTCTGTTGTTCTCTATGTTCACATTTTGTCCCATGACTTTGAAGTGAGTATCTTTTTAAATGAGCTGTATCAACACCGAATTTGGATACCATTTTATCACTGTTCAAAGCACTATCGAATTCCTTTCATCATCCCATAACTCTAAGATCCTTGAATCTTTGGCCTGATTTTTGGTGGAAACAGACACAGAACCATTGACTAGTGATTTCCTCAGAACTAGATGTTCTGCAAAAACAGTCCTTTCCTATGTATCATCTGTCACCCTAACTGCAGAGTTATTTTGATTGGCTGTTTTGGTTTTTGTTGTTTTAACCCCTGGCTGGCACTTTACTCATTGCACTTGAGTTTACTGCCCCATAATTAAAGAATTCAGGATGACTCCAGAAAGGAGATCTGGGTTTCAGAGATTTCCCCTCTAAGAAGAAAATGTCCTAGAATTCCCAGTTCTTTTCCAGTCAGTCCCCTACTTCTATTTACAGCTTTTTCCTTACCTTGTCCAAAATTTAACCTTGAAGCAGTTTTCCTCTGTGGCTTTACCGTTCTCATTTTCTCAGAGGCTTCAGGTCTTAAATGAAATCCCAGCATAAAAGAGCCAAGGGGAAGGGTGGGGGGATGGCACTTTTGGGGTGGGGTGGTTTTTTTGGGGGGGGTTGGTTGTTTTAACATTAGCCATTCTCTGCTGCTATTTCTTTATATAATGTAAGTGTTTAACTGCAATTTTGAGATAATTGAGATGTACTTGAGGCTTTTTTTTTTTTTATGAGAAAAGGCTTTGTGTATCTTATTTTAGAAGGGGCCTCTCCTAGACCTGCCCTAGACATTACATATTCCTCCAGTCATATTGAAAAGCAAAAGAGGGGCAGGTTTGGGGTCACAGCCACTTGTTCAGCACGGACCAAGTGGGCCTTGGGGATTACGGCATTCTGCGGAGACGGCTCCAGGACTGATTTACAGAAAGCCAAGGAAGTGCGACTTGAGGCTCTACTAGCAAAGCTGCTGATGAGACTTTCAGGTAGCCGACTCTATGGGAGATGGGAGTCCAGATTCTGCCATTTTTCCACCAACAACAGCAAAGGAAAAAGTGGTGCAATTATGCAATCCATTTAACTCATAAACGTAGAACCCTGTTGGCCAGCCATTCATCGGATCCTTGATTGGGTAGTCCTGAAATCAGACATGTTCCTGTAGAAAGAATTTTAAGTGAGGCTGTCTATGCACCTATCAAGAATAAAGAAAATAGATTGTATCCAACAACGGCAGGGAAAATCCTTCAGCAATTCTAATCCACTTTGGCTTTTCAGCTATATATATATCTCTAAAGCAATAGCAGACTAGAACTGAATTCTTGTCTACACTGTAAAATAACAATTGCACAATTAAGGAATTCTGGTGATGATATTAAAGTGAAATAACCAAAACAAAAATAGAAGGCCCCATTTTAACAACTGATGTGAGAAGAAATTTTAATAAGAGAATCTTATAACTTCATTCTGGAAATGGTTTCCCACCAAATAAGGGCTTTCCCCCCTATCATTTAAGGAGCCAGATGAATTAGAAGCTGTAGAAAGAGGCAGCTATAGAATTTGATCTTCCGAGTACCCCATGTACCTTTATTGAACTTAATCATAATACTGTCAAATTGCCACGATCTCACTAAAGGATTTCTATCGCTGTCAGTTACAACCCCAAATGCATTTTTATTCTTTCTACTGGGTTCATTGTCTGTTTTCTTTATAAGTGCAGTACAATAAACAAATTATTTAATAACCTATATGTCTCCAGAGCATTTCTGTTCCTTTGTTGCCCAAGTCGATCTGACCCAAGCTTCAGAATGGAGGGAGGGATTGGTTGAGTATGCTTTTTGAACTCAAATAGGCAGTGAAACTGGCTGGAACACAGGCCACCGCTTTATGGCATTTGTAGCTTTGCTTCCATCTTTTAAATTGGGGGTAGGTGAGATTAACAAAGCACGTTTCTTAGGAAAGTTGTCATTCCCTGTATCTCCTAGTATTTTCCCAGAATATTTGTGGTGTGTCTTTTACCACTCCCCCCTCAGATTACAATCACAATCACTGTAGATGCAAAATGCCAAAGATTTGTGAAGTCTGCCTAAGGCACTGTCATGACAAACCCTCCTACACAGGCTTTCATAGATTTGTCTGATTCATTCCTTAGGGTAAATTCTTTGAAATAGAATGGCTGGGCCAGAGAGTAAGCACATTTTCATGGCTTATAATAAATGTCAGGTAACTGATGTGGAGAACGGTTAGGGACTGTTCTGCTGTGACCGGCAGTGCTTGAATGGGCCTGTTACGGACACGCTCGTTTTATTCCCGATAGCCAGTTTGCCAAAAAACAAGAGCATCTTTGTTTTAGTTTGCATATTGGATGACTAGTGAGGCAGAAACTTGTTTCATGGGTTTTATCGGCCATTTGTATTTTCTGGTTATTTGCTACATTGCCCAGCTTTCTTTTGAGGGGTTCCCTATTGGTAAGGATTTGTTCTGTATTAAAAATGCATTTTTGTCGTTTTTCCATCATATATTTTCCAGTTTTTAATTTGCCTTTCATTTTTATTTGTGGTGTTTTTTAGTGTTATTCATAGAAAGTCTTTCCCCACCCCTGAGCTGCATAAACTCTTCTAGTTAATTGCATCATGCTTAAGACATATGTAGTGTGTACATACTGTGGTGTTGACCAGAAGAGAATGTATCATCTTTATAAAAACAACCTTGGGGCACCTGGGTGGCTCGGTTGGTTAAGTGTCTGCCTTCAGCTCAGGTCATGATCCCACGGTCCTGGGATCGAGCCTCGCATCGTCTCTCTGCTCAGCTGGAAGCCCACTTCTCCCTCTCCCTCTGCCTGCCGCTCCCCCTGCTTGTGCTCTCTCCTGCTCTCTCTCTGTCAAATACATAAAAAACTTTTAAAAATTTTATGTACTCCAAAAATAAGGCCTAATGACACCGGAGAAGGTTGAATAATCCTTTGTGTTTTGCCCACCAATTTGGTGCCTTTGGAGTTAGCAAGGCATTGGTAACTACTCTTGCACAGTCTAAAGTATATGAAGATTAAATATATAAACTTTTATATAATCTATGAGCCTTGAGACCTCCTGAGAAAATTTGTTTTTATGTCACTAAAGTCTTGGGGGGTTTTTGTTTTAAGATTTTGTCAGAACGAGCACAAGTAGGCAGAGTGGCAGGCAGAGGGAGAGGGAGAAGCAGGCTCCCCGCCGAGCAGGGAACCTGATGCGGGGCTCTATCCCAGGACCCTGGGATCATGACCCAAGCCGAAGGCAGACGCTTAACGACTGAGCCATCCAGGTGCCCCTAAAGTCTTGTTTTTAAAAAGTTGGAATTTAGAAACTGCATGTATGATACACATTTGTCTTTAAGTGTCTGCACACATATTAATCCACACCAAGTCCTTGTGACATCAGATACCCCAGTTAAAAAGCCAGAAAATTTGAGATCATTTTAAGTGTTTGGAAGTTTTAATTAAGTTTACATTAGTATGTAGTTGTGTTGCTGGCTGTACCATTCCTTATAAGGGAGGAGGCTTTTTTATCACAATCTTGTCATTAATTCAGATCTAGTTTCTGCCCACCTTAACACAATAACAAGCCTTGCCCTGCATTTGACAGAACTGGACTGTTGTACAAGCGCACCAGTTGCCCGCAACTGAGCTATGTCCTAGAAGTTGTGCCCTTAAGACCGTGCACTGGTTGCTTTGGATTTTGTAAATGTAGAGCAAAGTACCGTCGCTGTGGGAAATTAGTGGACGCTACTACAAATCTCGAGGTTAGATAACAAAAGTGGGATGAGTTTTGAGGATTAGGGCCCTTGTTTGATCTTTAGGCAAAAGTACCCCAGTGATTCCCACCTGATATTAACACACTTGTATAATCCCCTCATCTTGAAGGTGGGCTGGACTTGCTGACTGTTATAACAGATTAAGGTAGAAGTGACGGGTGTTACGTCTGAGGTTGGGTTACAAAGGGCTGTGGCTGCTGTCTTCTGTGCCCCCTCTTGCTCTTCTGGGGACGCAAGCCGCCATGTGAGTTGCCTTATGGGGAGGCCCAGAGCGCAACTGCCAGTGAGAAACTGCGTCCTGCTGACAACCACTGAGCTTGGAAGCAGATCAGCACCTTAATTGCAGCCCTGTGAGAAACCTTGAGACAGAGGCACTTAACTACCCTTGCCAGATCCCTAACCCACAAAAACTAAAACGTTTTAAGCCACTGAGTTCTGTGGCAATGTGTTATGTATACAGCAATTGGTAACTAATACAGGGATGTAAGACAATGAAAGCATTTAAAATATCCTTCCCCTTCACCTCTCAGAAATGATTAATCCTCTCTTGACCATATCTGCTCAGGCCTAGTCATTGTTGGTAAAGTGTGGGCATCACAACCGTCCCAACAGCCCAGCCCAAGGCAGAGGCAAGCCAGAAGAGAGAAAGTAATAAGGCGACTTGGTTAGAGGAGTGCTGATTTTACTGATTTTCTATATACTTTCAAAGATGAGATTCCTGCCTTTAAGAATTTATGTAAAAGTAAAGCCATTTGAGCTGATAGACAGTTACTAGATAGCAACCAAAATCAATACTGTGATTGGAGAGGTTGAATTCTGAGTTTCTTTGAAGATAAAGCAAAAGGTCATCTAGGTCATCTGACCCATGAACAGATTTGCAGATCCTTCCCCAGCACCGGGTCATTGGTAAACCCACTCCAAGCGCTTTTGTGAAACATGCTATTCCTGGCAAGAGCAAGGTGCAGGCTGTTGGCAGATGCACCCTGAATCCCCCAGAAGCTTCTGTGGAACACCATAGTTACTATTTTAGTGAGAGATCTTTAGAAGGTAGACTTTTAGAAAAGTTACTTATAAAAAGTAAAATTATGAGAAGTAAACAAATACAACTAGAAAAGGCACTAAGCTACAGAATTTGTCGGATTCTGTCATTCATCAGATTTGCATGAAGTAAGTGCTTGACTGAAATAATTTTATCGACACAGGAAAATAATGTGATTATCTAAGCCCCATTCTAATAGTTCGTATTACCAACAACAGGACAGTGTTGGGGTACTCATTCCTAATCCATATGAACTGTACAAGAAACCACCCTCACTGGGCAGGTTGTCAAGGCATTGGTTAAAAAGCATGCTCTACAGGGGCACCTGGCTGGCTCAGTCAGTAGAGAATACGACTCTCACCTAGGTTATGAGTTCAAGCCCCATGTTGGGGACAGTTTCCTTTAAAGAAAAAAAACAAAAAAAACATCCCTTACGGCCCAGGAATGAGAAACCTACTGTTTACTGTGTCAGTGACTACTCCTTGATCAAGTAACAGGATCCAATACAGGGGTTTTTTTTTGTATTTTTTTAATTTTATTATGTTAATCACCATACATTACATCATTAGTTTTTGATGTAGTGTTCCATGATTCATTGTTTGCATATAACACCCAGTGTTCCATGCAGAATGTGCCCTCTTTAATACCCATCACCAGGCTAACAACACATCCCCCCACTCCCCTCCCCTCTAGAACCCTCAGTTTGTTTCTCAGAGTTCATCGTCTCTCATGGTTCGTCTCCCCTTCCGATTACCCCCCTTCATTGCTCCCTTCCTACGATCTTTTTTTTTTTTTAACATAATGTATTATTTGTTCCAGAGGTACAGGTCTGCGATTCAACAGTCTTACACAATTCACAGCGCTCACCACAGCACATACCCTCCCCCATGTCTATCACCCAGCCACCCCATCCCTCCCATCCCCCACCACTCCAGCAACCCTCAGTTTGATCCAATACAGTTTTGTTCAGCGTTTACCTCCTCTCCTCTCTACCAGCACCCACTTTTTCTCTTCACTGGGTGAATGCACAAGACCAGGAGAAAAACACCTGTTCGGCAGGTTTATCCACTGCGGATGATCAGCAAAACCCGGTTTCTATGTACCATCCCCAGGCAGGAAGTAGCCTAAAGAACCTGTTTTTGTCTTGGCGTTTGCTACAATGAGATATCACCTAAACTGAGTTCCCCTCTGGAGGCTGGCAGAAGCACCATTTAGAGTGCCAAATTGGGAGTATTTTTTTTTTATAAGAAATGTAATCTACTCTAACAAATTACTTGGACACAAGTAAATTTCTCAAGCCAGTGGCCAGTTCTGATTGGGTCAGTGTAGGTACTAAGGGAATGTTATGTTGGGGTCCAAAGAAGAGAGAGTCATTTTAGTCTCCTGAGTTTTTAGATCTTGTGTTCACCCAATCTTTATAGGACTTTCTGAAGGATTCAGGTTCTGGTGGCCCCTCCATTCCTTACCCACCCCGATCATCAATAAGACAACAAAATGTGAGAAAGGAGAAACAAAGACCCCCAAAACTTCCACCTGAAATGGCCTAGCACGCTTAACAACCCCTTCCTCAGCTGCCCTTTTAGAGCTGGGTGGCAGTTTCTAGTGTGCCTTCAAACAAATGTATCCTCAGGCAGGCAGGCTGTGGAAGACGCAGACCTGGGAGGCCCCAGATATGGACTCATTATAATGCCCTGTGGACTCATTATAATGCCCTCTCATTTTACAGAGGAGAGGCTTCGAGGGGATAAAGTGATCGCTGATGTAAAGGGGATACAAAGAGACCTGGGGCCCCATCAGGAGAATACCACCCATGTCTCTCTCAGTATCTCTGATCTGGATCACTGCGGTTCTGCTTCCCCGGAAAGTCTTCTGTAAACAGTAGGAGGCCTTGTTTCAATGTCAGGTTCTAATCCTGTGGTGAAAGGCTTCAGAACATCACATCTACAGTAGCCAAGGACAGAGAAGCATGGAAGGAACAAGTTTTTATCTTTGAAGAATTCTATTCCTTAATTTTCCATTGTCAGGGAAACAGTTGACCTGTGGTATTAAAAAAAAAATTGCAAGAGTATAAAATCTGACATTTTAAAAAAGCCAATCAAACAAAAAAAGCTTCCCCATGTAGGTTCACATACGCTCTAACAGTTTGCTACTCAAAGTGTGACCATTATGAGAAGCAGGTTAGAAACACAGGGCTTATGGCCCCACTCCAACTGAATCAAAATCTGCATTTTAACAAGATCCCCGGGTGGATTGTATGCATATTTGAGTTTGAGAATCATCTAATAAGTATGGAGGGACAATGCTAATTTTAATTATTCAGAAAAGTATACCTATGTGGTCAAGGATCGGATTAATTTTTACTTTGCAAAAATTAAAATAGTTGAAATGGAGATAATCCCTCCTCCCCACACAAAGTGGCTGGCCTGCTGGAGGTCTTTAATAAAAGGCAGCATTTTTTTTTTTAACATATTCCTTATTATTCTTGTCAGATCACATTTTGGAACCTTTTTTTAATGTATTCCTTATTGTTCTTGTCAAATCACATTTTGGAACTTAATAAGGAAATTGATATGTTATGCTTCCTTTTCAACCAGACATTAAAAGAGGTTACATCATATTTTTCTTTTTGCCTCAGCTATCAGGAAGCATAAAGCTAAGTTTAATACTCAATACAGTATTTCTATTAGCCTAGCTTTCTGGAATATTTGTTTTCCTCTCCATGACTTTTATTTTTTTATTTTATTAAGTTCTCTGTTTCTTACAAATCATTTAAAATCTTTCTGAAAATAAAGGCCCAAATTAGAATGCCGACTTGTAAACAGTCTGTTCTTGTTTGCCAGGCTCCAGAAAAAGATGAGTTTATGAAACCACCTGCCTGTTTTAAATTATTTCTTCCTGTTTTTTTTCTACTTCTCAAGACAGAAGTAGAACTAGAGGGTCTCAGATGCCAGCTAGCTCCTGCCAGAGTCCTTGCTCCTCTTCCCAGGCCCCACCACAGCCCCTACAGCCCAGCCCCCCACCAGCCACTCAGCCTGATGAGTCAATAAGGAAACAGGGAGGCCACAGCCCTTCCAGAGGCACGCAGACCACCCAACAGTGCAATTACTCACCGAACTTCAGCTGCTTCAGACTTCCTCTGCAAGGAGAAAGAGAACATTATTTGTTTACAACGAAGCCTTGTTTTCAGGATAACTCCCTGCACACTACTCCCTCTTCAAACTAGATCAAATTTCTTTTATTTGCTGTCAGGAAGGTTTTTTTTTTTTTTTTCATAATGTTTATCAGCTTGTAACTCCATATTGCATGTGGCGTCCCTTATCAGGTGGTAAGTTCCAATGAGACTTCTTCCCTCGCTGCTGTACCCCCCGTGCCATGTCTTTTGCACTGCTGTACCCCCCGGGTCGGTGGGCACGTGGAGCACAGGAGCTGTTACTGGGTGGGCAGGTGGATGATGTCAAAAGTTGGAGATCCTGGGAGGACCAAAGGGGGAGAGAACTAAGAGATACTAATCACCTGTATAACATGCAGGCACTGGTAGGGCCTTATACACACTATCTGATCATTCATACTATCTTTTATTTTTTTATTGAGGCATAATTCACTAACAAAATTTACTCATTTAAAGTGACAGCTTGGTGGGTTGTCAGTATAATCACTGGGTTGTGCAACCACCACTGCTATCCAATTCTAGAACATTTCCATCACCCCAAAAAGAAACCCTATGCCCATTATCAATCACTCTCAATTTCCCCCTCTTTACAGCTCCAAACAACTGCTAAAATCTATATCCTGTCTCTATGGATTTGCCTATCCTGAACATTTTATATAATTGGGATCATACAACATATGGTCTTTTGTGCAAGGCTCCTTTCACTTACAACATCTTCAAGGTTCATCCACATGGTAGCAATTATCAGTACTTCATTCCTTTTTAGAGCTGAATCATATTCCTCTATATGGATATACACATATCATCTATCCAAGTCATCAGTTGATTCACATTTGGGTTGTTTCCACTTTTTTGGCTATTATGCTGCTATGAACATTTGTATACAAGTTGTATACAAATTGTTGTACAAACATGTTTTCAGTTTTCCTACAGACAGACCTAGGAATAAATTGCTGAGCCACGTGGTAACTGTATGTTTAACCATTTGAGGAACTGCCCTTCTGTTTTCCACAGCAGCTGCACAATTTTGCATTTTCACTAGCAGCGTATGAGAGTTCCAATTTTTCCATGTGCTCACCAACACCTGTTACTGTTCATCATTTTTTATTTATCCTAGTGGCTGTGAAATAATAGCTCATTGTGGTTTTGATTTGCATTTTCCTAATCACTAATGATAATGACTATCTTTTCATGTGCTTATTGACCATTTGGATGTCTTCCTTGGAGAAATGTCTATTCAAATCCTTTGCCCAGGGGCACCTGGGTGGCTCAGTCGGTTAAGCGTCTGCCTTTGGCTCAGGTTGTGATCCGGGGGTTCTGGGATCGAGCCCCGCATCGGGCTCCCTGCTCCACGGGAAGCCTGCTTCTCCCTCTCCCACTCCCCCTGCTTGTGTTCCTGCTCTCACTCTCTCTCTGTCAAATAAATAAATAAAATCTTTAAAAAAAAATCCTTTGCCCACTTTAAAAATTGGGTTATCTGTATTTTTATTTGTTAAATTGTAGGAGTTCCTAATATATTCTGGATACTAGAATCATGATTTGCAAATATTTTCTCCCAATCTTTGCATTGTCTTTTCACTTTCTTGTTGATGTCCTTTGAAGCACAGAAGTTTTCATTTTTATGAAATCCAATTTATATATTTTTTTCCTTTGGTTGCTTGTGTATTGGGCATCCCATCTAAGAAATCTCTGCCTAATCCAAGGTCACAAAGATTTTTTTTTTAAGATTTATTTATTTATTTATTTGACAGAGAGAGACACAGCAAGAGAAGGAACACAAGCAGGGGGAGCGGGAGAGGGAGAAGCAGGCTTCCCGTGGAGCAGGGAGCCCGATGCGGGGCTAGATCCCGGGACCCTGGGACCATGACCTGAGCCAAAGGCAGATGCTTAACGACTGAGCCACCCAGGTGGCCCGGTCACAAAGATTTATACCTATGTTTTCTTCTAAGATTTTTATAATTTTACATCATACATTTAGGTCTTTAATCCATTTTGAGTTAATTTTTGTATATGATGTGAGGTGAGTAATCCAACTTCATTCTTTTGCCTATAGATATCTGGTTGTTCCAGCACCATTTATTGAGAAGACCATTCTTTCCCTCTACTGAATGGTCTTGGCACCCTTGTTGAAAATCAATTTGCCAGGGACGCCTGGGTGGCTCAGTCAGTTGAGCATCTGCCTTCAGCTTAGGTCATGGTCCTGGGGTCCTAGGATTGAGCCCCACGTCCATCAGGCTCCCCGCTCAGCGGAGAGCCTGCTTCTCCCTCTCCCTCTACCCTTCCCCCTCACTCGTGCTCTCTCTTTTTCCCAAAATAAATAAATAAAATCTTTTTTTAAAAAAAGGAAATCATTTTGCATAGATGTTTGGCTTTATTTTTGGACTCTCAATTTTATTCCATTGATCTGTATGTTTGTCTTCATGCCAGTACCACACCATCTTGATTACTCTAGCTTTGTAGTAAGTTTCAAATCAGGACATGAGTGTCCTCCAATTTTGTTCTTCACGATTGTTTTGGCTATTCTGGGTCCCTTGCATTTCCATATGAATTTTAGAAGCAGCTTATCAATCTCTGCAGAAAGCCAACTGGAATTTTGATAGGAATTGCACTGAATCTGTAGATCAGTTTGGGGAGCATTGCCATCTTAATATATTAAGTTTTCTCATCAATGAATATGGATGTTTCCATATATTTAGGGCTTTAAAATATCTCTCAACAATGTTTTTTAATTTTCATGTACAAATCTTATACTTCTCACATTTCTATGTATTTTATTCTTTTTGATGCTATTATAAATGAAATTGTTTTCTTAATGTCATTTTCCAATTGTTCATTGCTCGTGTATACAAATGCAATAAATTTTTGTATACTGCTTATATCCTACAACCTTGCTGTTGTTGTACATTAGCTTTAATAGTTTTTTAGTGGATTATTTAGGATTTTCCATGTGCCAATCATGTCATCTGCTAATAGAGATAGTTGTACTTCTTCCTCTCCAAACTCGATTTCTTTTCTTTCTTTTTCTTGCCTAATTGCCCTGTTTATAACCTCCAGTACAATCTTCAACAGCAGTGACAAGAGCAGATATCCTCACCTTGTCACTGAGCCTTATCTTGTTCACGATTTTTTCAAGTAGGTATTTTTTACAAACGAGAAACCTGCCACCTATCTCCATAAAAATGAGGCTCAGATGAGGAAACTGAGACTCAGAGAAGCTGAGTAATCTCTGCAAAGTCACGGCTAGATAACAACGGAGCCCAAATTTTATTTTTTTTTAATTTTTATTTAAATTCAATCAACATATAATGTATTATTGATTTCAGTGGTAGAGGTCAGTGATTCATCAGTCTTATATAATGCCCAGTGCTCATTACATCCCATGCCCTCCTTAATGTCCATCACCCAGTTACCCCCTCCCCCCACCCTTCACCCCTCCGGCAACCTTCAGTTTGTTTCCTATGCTTAAGAGTCCCTTATGGTTTGTCGGAGCCCAAATTTTAAACCCAGGTCTGAATCCAAAGCCCACTCATTCTCTGCCTCCTTAACGCTTAAGCAGTGGATCAACAACTATGTGCTTGTGCAAGGTTTCATTTCTGCTTTCATAGTTTCATTCATGCCACATAATAATGGAGGTAGCAGAGCAGGAGTCCCCCTTTTTACCTTGAAGAAAGTGACTTGAAAGAACTAGGACTCAACCTCTGCCCTCCTAATCCAATTCTGTGCTTTGACAGAGACAATAACTACTTCACTGAGTAGTTAGATGTATTCAGAAAGATTATGTGAGTGTTTTCTAACAGGTAATAAAAGGGTGAACTAGGGCGCCCGGGTGGCTCAGTTGGTTGAGCGACTGCCTTCGGCTCAGGTCATGATCCTAGAGTTCCGGGATCGAGTCCCGCATCGGGCTCCCTGCTCAGCAGGGAGTCTGCTTCTCCCTCTGTCTCTCCTCCCTCTCATGCTCTCTGTCTCTCATTCTCTCTCTCAAATAAATAAATAAAATCTTAAAGAAAAAAAGGATGAACTAAATCCTGCATGATAGTGAAGGAGCTAAAATATGGAGAGAAAAAATCTGAAAAGATTGAAGACAGGTGCATGGGATATGAAAAGAGAAAGACAAGGAAGGAGAAGAGAGCAAACTGACATTTTGATTTGTAAAGAAAAGTGTCAAAGGGCCAAAACCATCACTTCATAAGAAAGCACTTCCCTTTAGAATTATGTGGGGGCACCTAGGTGGCTCAGTTGGTTAAGTGTCTGTCTCTTGATCTCAGCTCAGTTATTGATCTCAGGGTCATGAGCCTTGTGCTCCATGCTAAGCGTGGAGCCTACTGAGTGAATGAATGAATGAATGAATGAATGAATGAATGAGTGATGTCAATAAAATTTCTTTCCAGCTGAAAGAATCCCTCCTGAAAAGGAAAGAATGCAAATGAGTAATGTAAAAATATTCTCTGCATGTGTGCAGACAGATTTAAGGTTGGCCCTGCCTTGAAGCTGAGAGCTGAACAAAATGTTTCCAGCAGCTCCTGCTAAATGAAGCCTCCCTGAGAAACCCTCCATCCCTGGAGAAAATGCTGGTCATACAAATTGCTGCTGGACTCCCCCATTTCCAATCTGCCCTCACAGGGTTGCTGTGCAGATTAAATAAAAATGGCTCCTGTGAACAAAACTTACATCACTCCTGCGCATGGAAATGGCTCAGTAAATATTAGCTCCATTTCCCTTCCCTTTATGGGGTTTGCAAGGGACCCAGGCCTTAAGTGTTCTCAGAACCTAGAAGCTATAGGCACCTCCTACAATGCAAAGATACCTCTGTCTTCTCCTCCTTGACCCAGCTCATTCTAGTAATTCGCTTTTCATAACTTAGGTGTGTGAGTCACTCTTCTTCCACTTCCAAAGAAGGGCAAGATGTTTGATTACTTCCTTATGGAGAAGTGGGCCCTGGGCTGAGCCAGAGAAGACCAGAATTCCGGGTCCTCTTTGCAACCACCTTTTTGTGTACCTCTGGGTAGGTCTCCCTTCCAGGCTTCAAGTTCCTTATCTGGGAAAGTTCCTTGGTCAAGGGGGGCAAAGGAGTTTGCCTCTTTCTTCTAGTTCAGGCCAATGGGGTGAAGACAACTATGGAGAAAGGTGACTGGAGAGGTCTCTGAGGTGCAACAGGCCCCTCACAGTGGCCACCTGCTGGATAGGCATTTTGGGATTCACAATGGTGTGAGACAGGACTTGCCCTATGACTAGGAGATAAAATTTATACCTCAAGAAAGCCCCTTTAACACAGGGGAAGAGCTTAATGAGAGACAGGAGCAGAAAGTACCCTAGGAGGAAAAAAGGTCAATGGGAAAGAGTCATAAAAGGCTGAAGGCTCTGCCTGGGCTTTGGGTCAGCTACATCTGACTCTTAAAACTCAGGGTTAGGATTTGGGCTAAGGAAATTGAGACAGGATGGCATACAAAGAACCCCAAGTCTCTCTCCCCAACTCAAGGGAGCACCCACCATCTGTACTCCAGGAGCTGTCACGTCTGCCCCCTAACCTGCCTTTCTCCTCCTACCCCAACAACTCAGTCCCTCTGCTAACCTGTTGTTCCTCTCTCCACCAAACAAACCCCCAGTGAACTTCCAGACCCAGCCTCAGTGCCACCTTCTATAGGAGGCCATCCCTAGCTCCCCAGGCTGGATCAGGGTCCTCTCCCCTGTAGACCCTGACAGGAGTGGGGGTTTGAGGGAGGCAGGAGGACACCCTTCTATCACAGACAGCCTCTGTCATTACCTCATCACCTGCTGGCTTGCAAAACCCCACTGGCCCTTGGCCTCTGGAATAAGGGCTGTGTCTAATTGGTCTTGTTGTCCCCAACCCCTGGCCAGGGACCAATCCTCTGGTGACTGGCTGAGAGGAACCCCACCTCCCTGGGGGATGGCGAGTTACCTTTTCCATCTGCCTTGTAGTCATCAGGAAGGAGCTTGTCCTGCCGGTAGCCCAGCACAAAAGCCAGGAAGGAGAGGATGAGGGCATCTCCGATGCTGAGGATGGCCAGCATGAAGGCCCAGCGGATGGTGCACTGACCCAGTGTGTACTTGCCCGTCTGCTCCCCACACATGCGACGCACCTCACTTGAGTCCCAACCATCTGGGTAGACCAGGCAGCCAATCATCAGGCCTGTGGCTGAGGGGGCAGGAGGGGGTGCAGATGGTGTCAGCCTGGGTGTGCTCAGGCTTCTACCTCCCACCTTGCACTGCTGCCATCTTGTCACCTCCCTTCTCTTTGTGTTAACAGCCTTGAGAGGTATGGGGCAGCTCCTACCATCATTCCTGTAGAATCCAGGGGAGAAAATTGAGGATCCAAGAGCTAAAGTGACTTGCTCTTGGTCAGGAGTAGAGGCAGAAAGTGGATGAGGAAACTGAGGCCAAAAAAGCTTAAGTGGCTTGCTCTGAGCCACACAGCTAGTTAGCAAAGCTGATTTCAAGCTCCTCAGCCCAGGGAAGATTCTGCCATAGCACCACGTGGTCCTACCAGGCCCTCAGCCTTGCCCCTCTCTGGCTTCAAACCCCTCCAAAATCTGATTCCAGCCCAGAGAACTCATCATTTCTAAGATGTACAATTATTCATACTCCAATATCTCTGAAATAAGTATAATAAGAAAGCTTCAGGCCATGGTTTGAGTAGAAGTATTTTTCCTGGGCACCTGGGTGGCTCACTTGGTTAAGCATCTGACTCTTGATATCAGCTCAGGTCTTAATCTCAGGGTCATGAGTTCAAGCCCCGCGTTGGACTACTTAAAAAAAAGAAAAAGTATTTTTTCTTTTTACAGCACATAGAATAATGGCATGTCCTACAACTTGGAATCTTAGATTTAATGAATACACAAAGTTTTCCAGCTCCATCTCTGGCTGCTTCCTTCCTGAACCTTTCATTCAAGCAAATAGGTCTCTTCATCCTGACCCCAGTACAGGTAAGTGCAGTTGCTCACACTTCCCTGAATTTAAGAACCCTTAATATTTATTTAAAATACTGATTTCCAGGCTAAGGTTGGGCTCAGGAATCCCTGTTTTTAAAAACATTCTTTCAGGTAATTCTCTCAATAGGAAAAGCTGGGAAACACTAGCACAGTCGGCCTGGATTTCAAGCCCAGCTCTTTGCTAACTAGGTGTGTGGCTCAGAGCAAGCCACTTAAGCTTTTTTGGCCTCAGTTTCCTCATCTATAAAGTGGGGATATGAACAGTCCCTACTTGTTTGGATTGAAGTGAGGTTCAAATGGGTTAATATTGGAAAAGTGCCTGGCACACACTTAGTACTTCATGAGTGTTAGCTACGATTATCCCACCCTGTGCTTCCATTGACTTAGTATTTACAGACAAAAATGTCATTTTCCCTACCTTCTCCTCACTTCTCCCATGCCCTCCCACCAATGACCACCCCACCTTCACTGCACAGATAGGTGACATAATCTTGGAATGTGACCAAGGCAACCCCAAGGACAACCACCATGTAGGCAGGGGGTGCCTTCCATTATCTGTGCCACTTTCCCATTCCTCACCCTCCTTCCACAGGCCTGGAGGCTCTTTAGTTCCAAGGCTCTGCCCCACCCAGGAGCACCTGAGAAGCACCTCACAGGACCCAGTTACTACCTTGGACTCAGTTCGGGCTTGCAAGGAAGGTCAGCAGATCAAACGAATGCAGAGAAAGTATAAAGATCAGGATCCCACCTCCCCACCTAAATATATCAACTCTCCTTTCATTTTATACAGGACAAGGTTATTTGTATAGTTCTCTTATAGGTCACAAAATATTTCATGTACCATTCTTCTCTTGATCCCGACAACAGTTCTGTGAAGTAGGCCATGTATTAATATCCCATTTTACAGGTTAGAAAACTGAGGTCTCAGAGAAACCAAGTGAATTGCCCAGTCATCCAGCTACAGCAGAGCCAACGCCTGGCTCCTGACTTTTTTGACCTCAAAGTTAATTCCCTCAACTCCCAGACACACCTCTCCAAAGAGCTGAGTGTATTTAGTGCTGACATTTCAGACTTAGTGACAAAATGAGAAGTGTTTCAGGAAGATACTTAGGGGAGGGGAGCAGGAACCCTTCCAGAGCCCTGTGGTAAAACCTATGGCCTTCCCCAGTTGGTATAAAACCAGTAGTTTGGCACCTTAACCGTGGTGGGGGAGGGGAACCGTTCAATGTGGAAAGGAGCTGCCCTTTTGGACTTTCCCTTCTCCTCACCTCCTCCCCTTGGTCCCATTCTCCTTCCATAGCATCTCTGGAAAATAGCCCAGGGCCTCTAACCTGGAAACAGGTTGTTACTACGGGTGCCACGGACCTCTGTAAGCACCTGACCCAGGGGCCTGGGCACAGTGGGGGTCACCCCCATTTGTAGTGTCTCAGGGCTCTAAGGGGGAGTTTATTTACCCTTTCTGACTTCCAGTCTCTCATCTGTAAAACAAGGATAACAATGCCTGACTCATAGCAGAGTTATGAGGATTAAGTGTGGTCAGGTGGAGAAAACGTTCACTGCAGTGTCTGGTTCATGGCAAACAGCCAGTTACTGTCAGTTGTTGCTATTATTATTGGCACTGAAGCCAATGGAAGCAACCTCAGAGGATATGAGTGTCATTAGAGGTGTTCACAAATGTTTCAGGTACATAGTAGGATTATACTTCCTAGCTCTCCTCTTTTCAAGTTAGGCAAGGCTGTAAGAGTTCCCTTAGAAAACAAAATGTGAGCGGAAATGTGTGCATTTCCAGACCAGAGCATTTAACTGCTAGGGAGAGATCTTCCAGAGCTCCCTTTCGCTTTGCCATGATGACAGCCAGAGGACAGCTGATGCTACATCAGCCAGGGTTCCAGGAGAGAACAGTGAGAGCCAAGCCCCAACTGATCCTCAATGAGCATGTACCACAAGCAAAAACTAAAGCTTTGCTTTAAGCCACTAAGATTTGGGAGTTGTCACCTCACCCATCCTGACTGATAAAGTTGCTTTTGTGGTTTTCACATTTACTGAGCACCTACTATGTGTCAAGCACTGTAGAAGATGTTTTATATGCATTAGACATCCCATCCTCACCAGAACTTTGGGATAGGAGGTCCTGTTGCTACATTCTACAGATGAGGTTATCAAGACTCAGAGAGAGAAGCAACTTGCCCTACCTGTGTTTCTAGGAGCTGGAACCACATACAGCTTACACCTGACATCCAGAAGCTCAATTAACATTGTTAAACTTCCACCCCACACCGCCCCCGTCATCGATCCTCTTTCCTTTCTCCTGCTCCCCTCCCTGGTCTTAGGCTTCTTGGCAAGGTTAAACTAACTGGTTTAGGCATCTTCAAATGGATGCATGTCCCAGCTGCTGTCTGCAGAGCACATAGACCTCTTCATCCCTCCCTTTGGCTCATCTTCCATTCCCCTACACTAAAGAATGGAACATGACACCACCTTCACTCTCCCCCAACATAAATGTTTCATAGGGTGGCATCTGGCCACTTCTGCTATCAGTGTCTCCAGCTCCATGACCTGGAGTCTAATTCAAATGGCCTGCCGATGCCTAGCCCACCCAGGCCTTCCCAAGCACTGCCTGTTCACCAAATGGTACCTGTTGCAGGAGGCTGTGGGAGGGGACAGTGTGGAGAATGAGAGGAATGGTTGTGTTTCTAGCATTCCATAGCTCTGATACGGAGGACCAGCTGGTAAGCAAACCAGGGTCCATTCTACTCCTCTTTGTCACAAAACTGCCAAATTTTCATTCCCCTTCCTACTCCCCACTGCTCACCAAGATTTACCTCAGCCTTGCCCCAGCCTCTCCCTCAATGTATAGAGAGACAAGAGGAGAGGGAGATGGTAGATGGATTGGGGAGGCAGCTCTGGAGCCAGATGAGTGGCCTGAGTACAAGATTTTGAATCAAAGGTTCTGTCCATCATTACCTGTGCTAAAAAACAAGTTACCCACTAAGAGCCTTATCTATAAAATAAGAGGAATATCTCCCTCTAGGGAGATATAGGTAGGGATAGGGCTTCTCCAGATGATATATATGAAAGTACTTTGTAAGTCATTATACCTATGTAAATGTGTGGCTAATAAAAAATGTCTTTGGAATACATCTAGTTTCTTGGAACCCACTGCCTTAATTCCCCTTGGTCCTTAGTTGCCAGGTGATCTGCTATAGCCTTGGTCAAGTCTTTCCCTCTTTCTCAGTCCCAGATTCCTCATCTGTAGTTGGCGTGGGTACTTACAGTTCTCTGGGGTCCCCCTCCAACTCTGACAGAGTGTTGAGTCTATGCGTTTGGTTGTCTGGGATTCTGATCCTTGCTCATTCTCCGTTATGGATAATACTGCTTCTCATTCTAACCAATAATTTCAAAATGATTTTCTCTCTAGTCTGCAGTCCTAGCACTGCTCCTGGACATTTCCTAGTATGGGCAGCCTGTGCATGGCCCTTGGGGCAGGGAAGGACCAAGGGCTGCTGGACAAGGCTTTAGAGAACAGGACCAGCTGGCTCAAGGACTGAGAGGCCTGCCTGGGCCAGGAGAAAGAAAAAGGGACAGGGAAGGCCTTGTTTCTGGGCACCATAAGTAGCCACCTACCCCACATAGTTTTAAAAGACCCTAGCCACCACCCTACTCCTCCATCACAAAATATCACTCCCATTTATTTCCTCAAGTATGGAAACCTATAACTAGGGAACAAAGACTTTCACTCCACTGTGAAAGAGGGAACTTAAATGCAAGTTTCTATGGGAAAGGTCACAGCATAGCACTCCAAATCAATGACTGACCTTAGAATCTCCCTGAAAGCAATTGGGGTAGGAGGGAAGGAGTAAGGGCAGGGATCTGTGGATCCTTAAAGGAGAAAGAACAAATGCCTAGAAGTGGGAGATGGAGACATTTAGGATGTGCTTGACTATTTTGCCCTGGGTTGGATCCTTTTCCCACATGGCCGACCATGGAAGCTTCCTTCTTTTTCCTTCCCAGAGCAACAACAACCTCTGATGTGGGGGCCTGGGAGTCAGGACACCTTCTATCAACTAGCTGTGTCCTCCTGGGTGAGTCACTTCCCCTCTCTGGACCTCAGTTCCCATCTGCAAGATGATGGGGTTGAACAATTTGATCTCAACGATCCTTTAGGTCTCAGCCATTCTAAAATTCTCTACTCCTAGAAGCTTCTGCAGAATACTAAGTAGGGCTGGGCTAAAGGAGAACAGCTGAGGGGTGCCTGGCTGGCTCAGTCAGTGAAGTGTGTAACTCTTGATCTTGGAGTTGTGAGTTCAAGCCCCATGTTGGGAGTAAAGATTACTTAAAAAATGAAATCTTTGAAAAAAATGTAATGTAAAGGAGAGCATCTGGGTAAGAGACCCAGAGCATCCACAGAGGGTGGAATGGTGCAGCTTCCCCCGTGGCCTGGGGGGGGGGTGGTCCCTCCTTGTCCTCCCATTAATCCTGCTCACCTGCAGCCAGCTGCATCCATGCGCAGATCTTGTAGACAGTGGCCGTGTTGCAGACGAAGAAGAGGCTAAAGCAGATGATGGAGCCAATGATGAGGAACATGGCCAAGGCCACAAAAAACATGGCAGTCTTGAAGGCTCTAGAGGGAATGGAGGAGAAGTCCAGCGGGCCACCCTTGCAGATGAGTTCAGAGGACAGCACGTTGCCCACACAGTAGGAGAAAAGGCCAAAGTAGCCTGCCTGGGGTGTGTTAACACTGTCACCGATCCAGTAGGGCTGGATGAAGAGGGCCATGACCAGTACCGAGAAGCAGATGGTGAGTGTGCCCCACATCACACCCACAGCCCTTGAGTTGCGCACATAGTTGGTATGGTAGATCTTGGCTGCCTCCTGGGCAGGCAGCAACTTCACCATGGTGAGGATGTAGGCCCTGGGCTGGGATCCTGTGGGCTGTAAGCCAGTTACTTTGCAGACAGAGGCCTAGGAGTGGGTCACTCCTTAGCCAGGTTTGGGGAGGAGGCTGAGGTAAGGGTACAAGGTGAGGGTCCCTCCAAGGTAGAAGAAAGAGGATTAATATATAAGACCAGTAAGACAACCTTTGTTTCTTCAGGGGAGGCTTGTCCAGATGCCTTTGTCCGCTCTAGCCAGGCTGTCTCCGGTCTCCTGCCTCCTCTCCAGCCTGCCAGGGTCTCAGGCCTGCTGGCGCCGCCCTCTCCCTCCCTCTCCCCCCCCCCCCTTCCCGCTTAGCACCCCCGAGAGCCCCCCCCCCTCGCCCCCGCCCCGCCCCCCCCCCCCCCCCCCCGGCGGGGGGGACCCCCCCCCCCCCCCCCCCCCCGGGGGGGGGGGGGGGGGGGGGGACGACGACAAAAATTGGGAGGCTGGGCCTGCGACTGTCGCTGTCACATTCCTCCCGCTCAATTCCTGCCTCAAAACCAAAACCTCCTCCCGAGCACTGTCGTCCCCCCACCCCGTCCCCATTCAACCCCTCCCTGGCTCCTTAGTCGCCCTCTCAGAACTCCCAACCCCCTGGAGTCCAGTAAAACCTTTTCTGATTGTGTCCTGGTCACCGGCTTCTCCTCTCTGCGGTTTCTCTCATTCCACAATTACTAAGAGCGTATTATGTCCTAAGCCCTATGTTGGAGGATATCTTCCCTAAGCAAAACCACAGAGATAAAAATGACAGGGCCCCTGCCCTCAAAGACAGTGATATATTTACATATATGTATATGTATACTTGCAATGCAGACTGATAGTGTGATAACAAACAACTACAAAGTACCTCAAAGGAAGCTCCCAGACCTTACACATGTTTTTGTTCAATACAGTATCTTTCTCCTGTTTATATGGTTTTGTTGCACATTTCTTTTTTAACACTCTTTTTCAAAATATATATTTCTCCTGACTGGTAGATACATGTTTGATGTAGAAAGACAAGACAGTTCAGGAAAGTTACATAAAGAATATAAATCACTCATAACCCCACCATTGGTAGCTCAGGAGGGCCAAGATCATCTTAAAAACAGACTTTGGCTTCAGACCGATCTGCATTGCATTAGCCACTTACTACCTATGTGACCATCCATGGAGTTAACCTTCCCAAGCCTCAGTTTCTTCATCTATAAAATGGGGAGGGTAGTATCTATCACAGGGGCTCCTGGGTAGCTCAATCGGTGGTTGAGTATCTGACTCTTGGTTTCAGCTCAGGTCATGATCTCAGTGTTCTGAGATCAAGCCCCATGTGGGGTCTCACGTTCAGTGGAGAGTCTGCTTGTCCGTCTCCCTCTGCTCCTCTCCTTCCCTCAAAAAAATAGTATCTATCATCTAAGGGTTAGGTAAAATAATATATGTATTGGCCTCAAGGCCTCACATACAAAAGTACTCAAAATGTTTATTTGGTGTATTTCCCTCCTTCTGTATGTACTGCTTTACACAGTTGGACAATTTAGTATCCAATTTTTTTCACTTAGTATTATACCACTAATATTTTCTCATATTACTATTTGTTCAAAAACCTGATTTTAATGCTTATATATTGATACAGAGTATGCAATCATTTAATCATTTAATTATTTAATCATTTCCCTTTTTTAGGGTATTTTAGTCATTTCTAGAAAACTAAAAAAACAAAGAAAACCCAAAACCCTGTCTTCTTTTTTTTTTCCAAAACCCTGTCTTGAACATATCTGTGCCATTACCTACATTTCCTCTTTCTCTTAAATCTCTTTAGTTTTGTGACTAGTCTTCCCATCAGACTGGAGGGTCATTGAGGGCACAGGCTGTGTCTCCACCATTGGACTGGCAGCTTCCCTAGAGCAGGGACTATGTCTTTCCCCACTCAGAGAAGGCCAGAGGCTGGGGCCATATTTGGCCTGCCCAGCACAACTTTCCCTGCCTCTGAGAGCAGTCTCTCCTGCTTCCTGAGGCTCTGGTGAGATAGCCAATCACAGGGCTTGCAGACTCTAGAGACAAGGATGGGTGGGTGACGCAAACTAGGCCATCCGTCTCACCCTGGAGAATCTGAATTGGTGGTTAGACTGACAAAAGGAAAACAGCTATTGCTTAGTCAGGTCTTGGCAACATCCTTAACAAATGATCCATGAGCTCCTATTGTGGGAGCTTCAGAGCCACCCCGATTCCCAATCCAAGACAGGTTACCCTGTTCCTTCCTCAGCTCTGTGACCCACGCAATATCCTTCTATTTCCTTCTCTTTTTATTTCATTAGCCAGGGTAGGTTTTGGCTGTTGGCATCAAAGAGCCCTAACTGATCCAAGTATTGGCACCAGAAAGAGGGCTTCAGGCCCAGGCTTTAGCTGAGATTCCTGTTTATGGTCAGTATTGAGAAAGCAGCATCCCACAGCACAGAGGAAAAATAGCTAATAAAATTATCAGCTGCGAACACCAGAGATCATATGTCCTCTGAGGGTCAAGTTCTGGGAGCTGAGTGGCTTTGGTCAAAACAGATTTGAAGGGAATAAAGAAGGGGCTCCTGGCTGGTTCAGTCCATAGAGCCTGTGACTCTTGGTCAAGGGATTGTGAGTTCAAGCCCCATACCGGGTGTAGAGCCTACTA